ACTTGTAGTACTTGTAGTACTTGTAGTACTTGTAGTACTTGTAGTACTTGTAGTACTTGTAGTACTTGTAGTACTTGTAGTACTTGTAGTACTTGTAGTACTTGTAGTACTTGTAGTACTTGTAGTAGTAGTAGTAGTAGTCGTAGTAGTAGTAGTACTACTACTACTACTAGTAGTAGTAGTAGTAGTAGTAATCAAAATGTTAATTAAAAATAGTACTTGAAATAATGATAACAATAGTACTTGCGCGTACCTTGGGCCGCCCTTGCGCGAAACTTGCGCGATGCAGGTTTTAGACCATGGGAAAAATGCGAGAATCGATCGTATACTAAAAACCTTTCTGGGGTTTTTGGACGGCTCCCATATAGTTAATGGGCTTATAACCACCTTGCAGGACATCCCTGTATTTATTTGCCCCGCCGCCTGAACACAGGACTCGCACGCAACTTCCACATCAGTGGTGAGCGCGAAGAGGAGGGAAATCACCTGAGCACCAAAACATCTGTTGATGGATAGACGAATATGGGTTTGTCTGGTATCATAGGGTACCATAGGGTACCCCCTAAATCCACTTAATCATCATTTTCGCCTAGCCATGGCTATTTGGGAGGACCCATTTTCAGACACTCCCAAACGGGTTTGTCCAAAAAAATATTGTCCGGTTTGACTCTCATGAATGCCAAGCAAACCGTGACCGTGTTTCGCTCCAACAACTTGGTATGTTTAACCATTGCAAGGGTATATTGAGTGTCTACGTGTATTAGATATATAAGCAAATTCCGTTTATCATCTTTCAAACATGTATATGTAAACATGTTCACACAGTTATACAGACATACATTGTAAAAGGGGATTCTATGGGATTCTTCTAATCCAGACTTTCCATGGAATTTCCGCACTCCCTTCCTCCAGCAAACCATGAGATCCACCTTGGTAGTTGCACAGCAACAGGGATGCCAAGCGATGCCCACAGCGTTCGGAGTCTTCACCACTAGCTTCGCGAACTTGGACGTTGGGCCCTCCACCCCAGTTCGCAGCAGACACGGCGTTGGGACGCCTATGGCACATGCCCATGTAGGCACGCAGCATCCAGCTATGCGGTGGTCAAGTTGCCAGGATCCCACGGCTAGCAATTGGCTGTCAGATCCCACCCCTGTTGTGAAATCCTGTAAGCTTAGCAATGATTCATAAACTGAGAGTTTCCCACTGCAAAACCAATAAACTCCACGTCTTTGAGTGCAAGTGGACTTATACAATGTTGGGCCAGGTTCAATTGATTTCACAACCTCTTTTAAGTAATCCCTTAGACCCACACAAAGTGAGGGCAGGGAATTTCTGGGGCAAATCCTTGAATGCAAGACCATTTGGACATAACATGACATAACTACATAACCACACATAACCCAACATTAAAATACATTAAGGGGATCACTACCAACAACCATCGATCTTTCGGGGGGTAACTTTTCAAGGGTCAAAGACAAATGGATTACGCTGCTTCGAGACCAGCCAGCACGCTACTTCGAAACACCTCGATGTGGTCGCCATAGACACGAACACAGAATTTAGAATCCCAAAAGCCAATATCACAGTACTATATAATCGTGGATTAATGGTTATGTAGTGGATCAGTACTGCATAATATCACAATATAATAATCGAAGGAAGTTTAGAAGTCAAACTTCCGACAATATGGACAGATGAAAAGCCGAGCAGGGAAGAGGCAGAGAGAAGAGAAAGATTAGAAGAAAGAAGAGTAGAAGAGAAAGAGTAAGAAGAAAGAAGATGCAGATGCGCGAAAAGGTAGGAAGGTCGCCAAACACTGTGTTTTTCCAATGATTTGGGGCTCCGGAGGGTCGAAAAGTAGGCTCGCTAAAGCGGCGGGTGCGGAGCCAGCTGGCCAGATGAGAGATAAAAAATTGCACGGCGTTGTGGCGCGAAGCACATTTGCAAGTCAAAATGCACAAAACACACCAGGTGCGGACCACTTTTGGCACTTGAGATGTCGAAAAAGTGCACGCCGTTGTGGCGCGAAGCACATTTAGAAGTCAAAATGTACAAAACACACCACGTTCGGACCACCTTTGGAAGTTGAGATGTTGAAAAAGTGCGCGCCGTTGCGGCGCGAAGCACATTTCCAAGTCAAAATGCACAAAACACACCAGGTGCGGACGACTTTTGGCACTTGAGATGTCGAAAAAGTGCACGCCGTTGTGGCGCGAAGCACATTTCGAAGTCAAAATGTACAAAGCACACCATTCTCGGACCACTTTTGGAAGTTCAGATGTCGAAAAAGTGCACGCCGTTGTGGCGCGAAGCATATTTCCAAGTCAAAAGTGCAAAAAACTGACGGGTACGGAGCACTTTTGGACGTACAGATGTGCTTTCGCGTGGCAGGCGCAAGGGATTGTGCACCTTGGCAAAAGTGAGCAAAACGTGAGGGTTTTGTAGCATTTCCAAAGAAAGAGAGATAAAAACGTGGAAGAGAGAGAGAGAGATAGATAGATAGATAGACAGATAGACAGGTAGACAGCTAGACAGATAGACAGATGAAAGAGAGAGAGAGAGAGAGATAGATCGATAGATAAATACATACATAGTATGTAGGTAGGTAGGTAGATAGTCAGAGAAAGAGAGAGAAAGAGAGAGAAAGAGAGGAGACCTCAACCACCTTTCGGTCCATCAGCGGCTTCGCTCTGCCATCCCTGATTCACAACAACCAACTTCTCCTATAGGTTTCCTATTTTTGAAACTTCCGCCACCGCCTTGTGCGGTACTACTGGTAGTATATATAATACTGTAGTGGTTTAGAAAGTACTGCACATGACGCATCAATGTCCATCAGTCGATCAGTGGTTCTCGCAGTCAAAACAAATATGTCTGTCCAAACACGTGGTTTATCCCCAAAAGGTGGTGTTTTCTTTTTCAGTGGAGAATACCACGCTCGGATTACGGCTTTCAAATCCTATTCCCGCTTGAAATGACCTCCCAGCCCCTCAACATCTCCCAACTAAGGAGCTAAGCCCAGCGTTCCAACCTCGGCCAAAAACGGGTGGTTTTTTGTGCATCGGTGGTTTGGCAAGATGCCCTGCGAAGTTGGTTGCGATGTTTCAGTTGGAGATAAGGAATATGGTGTTTACTGTACTGCCAATATTGAATCCACGTTAAATATAATCTGGTTGGTGGTTTGAACCCCTCTGAAAAATATTAGTCAGTTGGGATGATAATTCCCAATATATGGGAAAATAAAAAATGTTTGAAACCACCAACCAGTAATGATATAAGTCAATATGATAAACCACACTGCTTTTATTTATTAAGGATCCATTTTGGGGGATGGTTGCTGATATGTCTTATATCTACCTTGGTTCCTCAGAAATGGATGTGGAATGATGATCCCAGCTGACTAGCGAGGGTGGAACCGACAGACCAGCTATTCGCTATTCTGGATCATAACAATACAGATCTAGACTAGAAGTTGTATAATTTATAATGACTATATAAAATGTGTGTAAAGCATATACATATACAATAGGAAAAAACAATGGGATTAGATGACCTACATGAAATGTTTGGACAGAACCCATGCATGGCATTGTATCACTGGATTTTGAAGATGTATCAACACCTTGATAATTGCCCTGATTTTCACACTACATTAGAAAGCCAGTGTGCCCCTAAATTCTTTGATGAATCACATGTTCTCTAATTATCCCATTTGATGGCATTGCCCTTTTCAGACGCATCCATATATCGTATCCCATTATAATAAATATATCAATAATATAGTATATCCCCCTTTTATACGGTTGTTTCAGATAGAATCACCATAAAACAAATAACTACACAATCACCACAAACTCACCATAAACTAACTCACCATAAACTCACCATAAAATCACCATAAACTCACCCTAAAATCACCGTCAAGTTAAAAATACCATCATAACATCACCAAAAAATAGTTTCAACATGTTTCAACCACTGGTCGTATCATCATAATCATCATAACATCAAAATAAGTCATAACTATATGATTCTATATGTTTTTTTCAACCACCATGGGTCCTGTGCCACAACAAATTTCACCCAGAAACTCCGATCTGGTGATCGCACAGCAGAACCTGCAAGGCACACGCCGCTGCGGCGAAGGCCACACAGAACCTTAAGGGCTCGGGCATAGTCAAACCAGGGTACAAGGTGGGGTTTATTGAAGATCTACATTCATGATAGGATTGAACATTATTTTTCAAAATATCCAACTATACTGTACTGGTTAAGTTGGTGCGACTTGCCATAGATTAACTGTTGGGGTTCTGGTGAAAATCCGACCGGTAGTGTCTAACTTCCGGACTGGGTGGTGATTAAAGCTATAATTGGGCACAACCTGGAGATGGATCAAAAAAATCGGAAGGATGTTTGCGGCTGGTCATAGCTTTAAACCACTGAACCACTCTCTTTTTGTTGGTGATGGTGATAAAATGGTGCCACTGATCCTTTCGATATTGGGGGATCACCAACAAAGATTGAAACTCATCATTTTTCTTCAGGAATCCAGGAATCCTATGGTTTGGGCTGAGCTTAGAGACACACCCAGAATGTAGCCGGAGTTTGATCGCAATACTCATGAAATTTAGCATCCAAGAATAAACACTCAAACACTAGAATACATGGAACACATATGAATACTGTTGTAAACTGTCCGGCAAAATATATGAACATTGTTGATTTGGTGTTTGACCCAAAACTTGCTTCAGATCGTTTTTGCCGAATTAAGGAACATACACTATGCTAGACGACTAAGCGGATGGGCCCTGCCCTCTCCCATCAAAATCCACTGGTTGAAACATGTTCAAAAGCAAAAAAGTTCCCCCGTCCTGTTCCCCTCGATTTTCCGCTTCATTTCCACTATAGATAGCCATGTTTACCCTGTTTTCCTCCAACTGTCCCCCTGTTTTCCCCGAATTTGTCGCCATGTTGGGCTCGACAAGTCGAGGCACGTGACACGAAAGGAGAGCCAGGACTTGTTACAGGCAGGTAGCCTGGGGCGGATCATGGAGGCAAAATCTCCAAAATCTACGGGGAAGATCTATGGGACATGTAGGTTTAACATGGGAAATAACATGGTTTAGCCATCAACTTAAATGGACATGTAGTGGAATTTCATGGGATTATAGTATAGCAAAGTTGGTGGGACCCCTGTTTACGATAGCTAAGTTCGTGAACATAACTCCAATAACTATGGTTTATGGTACTTACAACTATAGTTACGAGGGTTTATAAACCAACTTATAACTGGTGGGCTTTGCGTTGTATGAAATTGGATGATTTGGTGCAGAACCTAAGAAACATGGGAGATATAACTAAAACTCCATCTATAACCGGCACTATGTGGTGGTAATAAGAAGTAACCATCGGTCCATGTTTGCGGCGGTGTGACTAGAATATTATCCAAATTACTCCAGGATCGCTTTCTGTTGGTAAACTTCCCCCCAATCCCCATGATTGCTTCACATGGTTCAACAAGGCTCAACCAGGCTCAACACGCCGAGCAACAAGAGGCTGCAGCCCGTCATCTGCGACATTGCCAATGTGAAGCGCTGCAGCACGCTGCGTTGGAGCTGGTTGGCTCTGACCTGCACCTGGTTGGCTCGGAGGCATGGCCTAGCCATGGAGGTTTCTCGCCCAAATCCATGGGGAAAATCCACCACACTCGATGGAGGTTTGAATTGGAACTTCATCGAACTATAAATGGAGGAATTTCCCTTGCTATGTTGGATGGTAGACCATGACTAGAACTATAATTGGAACTTCATCGAACTATAAATGGTAGACCCAGACTAGATTGGCTAACTGAAACATATAAAGACGCCTTCCAGCACATGTATGGCCACGATCAGTTTTTTGACCCTTCAGATCTTGAACACATGAATCGAGTCAAACAATGGGCTACACAACGGATTGGCCCTTTCTAAAGGGGGCAAGTCCCAGGCCACTGGCCTCTCAAGGTACTCTCGTGGTAATTTCATAAGTGCAGGTGTGGACGGCATTGTGAATTTATTTGTGGAGTTCTTTTTATTGGAAGGGTGTGGTGTCGGTTTGTACAGTCTCAGTTTTTACAATTTGTCCGTCGGGAGCCCATATGCTCGACCGAAAAAATGTTGGATTGGCATAGGGTCACCTGGGTACATAACTGGCCAAGACAAGACTAATTTCAGAAATATGTTTAGCCTTAGTTCCAGGAGTTATTTCATCCCATAGCCATAACTATTAAGGGCTATAACTGGTAGGATGTCCCCAAATATCCAATTTTTTTTTTCGCTTTGAATGAAAGGTCCTGGGATGTCCTGGTTACAAATAGTTTCTGCGGAATTTCATCATCCAGTGTGACAAATGCCTTGTGAATGGGACTATCCCGAATTAACCGCTATCATTGAGGCTTGTATGATAGGGTACCCCAAGAATCAGCGGTTTTGCCAAAGTTTCCCCATTTTCTTGTTGAGCGAACCTGACCAAAACAAGGGGGTTTGCCATGTCCAATTGTAGCCGCACTTCTGGGGCTGGTCTGAAGGAAGCTCATGATTAATCATGGAAATACAGCACAAGGATGTACAAAATAATATTTGGCTGGGCGCAAAATAATAACCCCTTATGTACATAAATATCATAATGACCACTGACCTATATAACCAAGTTCAAAAGAAAAATATATATATATATATTATAATATATATATATGAAACACAATGTTTGTAGCATACTCATGGATACTCCGGGTTGAGTTGCGTTGACATCTTTGACTTAGCCTGCTGGCAGCGGCCAATAGAACATGTCGTCCTGACTCTCTTCGTTCTTTTCTGGTGTTACTCTGGCAGTCACAGGGAATCAGGGATCACTCTTTGAATGTGATGTTTCTCTTGCTCTTGGCCCTGCAAATGACTCAATTGTGTTCGAATCATTCTGAATCCAATGATGACTATGATGTTCCTGTCCACATGCCTGAAAGACCTGATACCACCGTTCACAACAACACTACCACCTACGTAGACGCAATTGTAATTATATGTAATTGTGATAATATGATATAATATGGCAATGTCCTAAATTGGTGGGAGAACCCCAAACTATCCAAGTCATCCATGACTTGATATTGAAAGCCATGGTGACTCGGGGATCGTTTTAGGACACGACCATGCCACCGGGCCACAGGGTCTGGCTCCAGGCTCTCGTGTAAGATCTGCTGAGCTTCTCTGAACGATTCTTCACCTAGAGCTGCTCGAAATGAGGATACCCCCATGATACCAAAACAGATGGTCACCAACAAGTTAGAACAGTCTTTCCAGGCACAAACAATGGTTACCCCAGGTTTCCAATGTTTCTATCGTTTGGGGCTGCGAAACAAGAACGTCTTGGAAAGCTCTGGGGAAATCTCTCGGGCCGACGCGCCTTTCAAAGCTAAGAGCACCGCAGCTTTCAGATAGATCCAAGCGAAAAAGGCGATGCACATGTAGGCTGGCAGCCTCAGAGGCAACCAAGGCAGCAATGGAAAATTCCAATATCTCCCAACCTTAGGGGACCTTGCGGATCTACTATGATCTACCAAGCTTGTCCAACTAAAATGCACTAAAGCACTACTCTAATGTCGTTTCCACCATCCCAAGAATTCCCAAGATCTTGGGCTACTTTCCACTTCCGAGAAGCAAAACAGTGACCGCAAGCCACTGTGGGGCAATGAGAAGGATGTAAACTTGCTGAAGAAAACTTCCAAGGACACTCCTGACCATCCAGGCATTGAGCTTGGTGGATTGGTCTTTGGGGAACCAACAAAAATAACGTGCCTGAATCCACGATCCAGTCCACGATACACAACATGTATTTGTTTCAGAGGCTCTCAAAAGAGAGACATCGATGCATCTCGGTTCCCCCAATGGTGGATTTCCGATTGGCCATCGGCGAAATCAACGATACAAGTTACAACGTTCATACTATAGCAACTGCAGTTTCTGCACAAGAACTCAACAACACGATTGTCTTCTCAGCCTCAAAGATGTGAGCCAGGTAGCCCCTATCATGACAACCATGTCAACATGTTTCTTACAGCCTTTGCTGGGGTTGTGAATGTGAACATATTAGAATCCTCCGCTGGAATGTGACATGTCCCATTGTATCGGTTAGTATAATATAGTATAATCCCCTATAATCATCAACCAACCGGGGTTTTGAACACCGCTCATATTGGGATTCCTTCTCTACAAACCAATCCGGGTGTCCAATCCGGTGATGGATCAATGGATTCCTGATGTCCATGAAAATGATTCTGGTTTAGTCTCTGAAACCAACTAGAGATTATTTAAGGTATATCTTCTCTCCTGAGTTAGTAGGTCTAATCTTTCCGTCAAGAAATGTCATAGTCATACTCAATGGATTGATCAAATAGGAGGTGTGAAGGAAACACATGTCTAAAAGTAGGGTACCCATGAATCCACTGTTCTACAAGTACACCATTCTTCGAGAACCCCATATGTTTGCCGTATTTTTACAAACACAATTATAATGCATCCCCCATGCTCAAAGAAATGTGTCGTCAATAACCATCCACCACTATATAGAAATTGAGTATCGAGGATGGATTAGTTTCCGTTATCCAATACTGAATGGTGAGTATCTTTGCTATCATTTCCCACACAAGATAGAAAACACATGAAACGACGTATCAATTAGACAATGATATTAATTAGATATAATTTGGTATGCTACACTAAACGTGATAAACCATAGAAACACACGTGCTAAAAATGGTAGACTGGTAGATGGTCTATGTTAATCCATCCATTAAACAGAATCCAAACATCAGGAGTATCAATCGCCATGAAAATGGATTGATAACCATCCTCAAACATATCATGGACAAATCCATCATTTCCCTGATATCCTTATTAGTTGATGGTCATTTGACGCATAAATTTAAATACCCTTGTTTCCCGTTTTTTTTTGGCTAAATCCATGCTAAATCCGCAGTCTATCGCCATTTCATTCGTGATATTGTGGTTCCCTAAATATACCCATCATGTGTTGCTTCGATATAATGTGGGTAAAACAATAATAAACACGCCCATTTTGGATGGTTTATATCACCCATTTATTGCGTTTTTTTCGTGATTTTGGGGATGGTTTATGGCATTGTTTTAATCACATTACCCTCTGGCAAACTAACATAACTATGGAAAATCACCATTTTCAATGGGTAAAAAATCCACTAAACATCATTTTCAATAGCTATTTTGACGTAACCAGAGGGTACCCTTGAACCACTTTCCGGCCTGGCACAGCCCAACCAGCCACTGATGACGCCATCCACCTCCCATGCACCGCTGAGCTGCCTGCCGGGGGATGAAACCACTTCTGACTGGGGGGGTGCTTAAGATCAGGGGGAGCGGGATTACTTGTATAAATCTTGAAGTACCTTTATTTATACATGTATATATGATATATTATGATATGAGATATGGATGTGAGTATTTGTGGACATACATGGTGATAAATTGCAGCATACAAAAATAAGTGGGAGTTGAATCAATTCAAGTACTTATACATATCATAGGATGTAAGCAACGGATGCTGGAGGAAACAAACACGCACACACCGAGTGATTTATTATCTCTGTACCATTGGGAGACTCACCCAACCACAGCAGGGACATTTTTCGTAACAACATATCTTTAACAAAAGCGATTTTGGAAGCACCTCCGCATTGTCTTTGACGAACCCAAATGAGCAGTGTTGACAAGCATGGTTAAACTGGTTGGTGGTTGACCTACCCCTCTGAACAATATTAGTCAGTTGGGATGATGACATTCCCAATATATGGAAACATAAAAAATGTTCCAAACCACCAACCAGTAAAATATGTTGAAATCCCTTTACGCTGGAGAACTTCCGGGATTTTTATCGTCCATAGTCACGAATCCCCAACCCAAAATCCAGTGGTCAAAAACATATATGTCCCTTTCAACAAATGCCGTGGTGGTAAACCCCATGGTAAATCTTACTTTCAAACACACGCATTGGATCCCATCGGAATTTTGGAAAGTCTTAGTATATGTCTTATACATAATCATAACAGTATATAATTATATATATAAGGTGGGCGCCCCGGCACCCCAAGCTATAAACACTTACAGTCATAATGTTATAATTACCATCTGGCAAACTAACATAGATGTGGAGAACCCACTATTAGTAGATGTTTTTCCGAATGGGAATACATTGATTTCCCAGATCGATGTATATAAACGTTTACCATGCGGTAATTCCCAGTAAATTAAATCATATTAAATCACCGTTGTTGTTGTTGTCGTCGTCGTCGTCGTCATTGTTTGAATCCCGTTAAATCCCATTAAATCACAGTAAATGGCATTATATAGATCCCACTAAATGCCGTGAAATCCCAATAAATGCTATTCAACGCCATTAAATCCCATAAAATGCCATGAAATCCCATGAAATCCCATTAAATGCTATTGGACCTAGCCATAACCCCTAGCGTTTGAAACCCATTTCCACCTGGACTGCAGATGTAGCCCTGCCATCAGGCTCAAGCGGCTCCCAGCCCATTCGCTCAAGGTCAATAGCGTGGCGTTCACAGCCACCGTGAGAACGATGCCTCGATTCGTGCGATGGTGCCAAATGGGATGAGTTGTCCAGCTTAAAATCCACCAGTGGTACCCTCTGGTTATGTCAAAATAGCTATTGAAAATGACCCATGTTTAGTGGATTTACCCATTAAAAAAAAGGGATGTTCCATAGTTATGTTAGTTTACCAGAGGGTAACTATGAAACACTGTAAATCATGGGATGATGATGGGATGTTTACCATCTACCAACTGTTTCCTTTTTCCACAGTATGACAAAGTTGCTTATCACCATGTTCCCTACTGGCCATTTTGGAGAAGGGTTGCTTTGGATGTTAGGGACTCATGGATCTCATGGCCGTAGACATAGGCCAACAACCAGAAACAACATGGGGTAGTGTAAATAAAATGATGGATATGGTTACTATAAATGGTTACATTTACTTACCCATTTCATATAACCATAAACTCATGATTGAGTCAACAAATGCTACTAGAAAACAAAACTCAACACCTATGACATTGCGTTTACCTCAAATACGATACAACTCCCAGGACATTCAGCAAATAAACATCAAGCAACATGATGCCCAACATGATGTAATATTATGTAATACACTTCCCAGCTGCCAGCAACGGGCAAGTTCACTTAACTTAAGAATCACAGCACCAATAGCAGGAACAATCACAAACATAGAAAGAACACAGATTCATTCCGACCTCCCAAATCATCTATGGGTGATAAGGCCTTCTCAGTAGCCATGGTCCAATGGTCAAGATTCGCCCAGCGACTCACTGCGAAGCTCCTGTGGTCAACGTTTTGAGCATTGCCCACGACGTCAGCCCAGGTGGCCAAGAACAAGAACTGCAGCAACCTGGGTGCAGGACTGGGATGAAACAAACTGGGTATAATCCATGGCTCTATGGCTGTAACCTCCGTGACGTTGGGACAGAATCCCTACCATTGTTTGGCCATGTACCATCATATACCGACGCAAATTAGAAGTGGAGCTGCATCACCAGGTGCAAATCTTTCAGGATTTCCGCTCTAAAACACAGGAAATACTTTTTTTTTGACATGTTTGACACACTCTTCATGCAGCGATAGCTTCAACAGAGGGAGTCAGAAGCAATGACGGGCACAACATGGGGCTGGGTCACCATCGTATGACCCGTGGCTTTCCCCTCCAACCAAACACTCCACGAACCATAGCTATAATCCATTGTAATCTTAAATACTCACAGAAAAACATATATCATTGTCATATATTGATATATAGACGGTCTTTCATTGCAACAACTTTTACCCATCATTTATAGCAAGAAACCAATTCGTTAACCTACCCAAACCATTGTAAGTCACAAGTGCTTTGGTCCAGGCACTGAACACTCCGCTGCATCAGCACCTGATGCAGCTTCAGGTAGCGGAATAACTGGAGCCATCTCGAAAGAAAACGGTCATCGGGCGAAAAGAGAATCTGAATGAATATGAATATGATCCATTTATCAGTTATAAATACTAAGAAAACCCCATTTATAGGTCATGTATGATCCCATTGAAATAACCAGCTATAACTGGTAGCCATGGCCATGTCACTGTATGAATATGATCCATCCATCTTCACATCATTTCACATCAATTCACTGTTTCAAATAGGTCTTGATTCTGCAACCATCGGGATTGAAGAAATTATCAGAGGGATTTGAAGAATATACCCTCTGGTTGTTTAACATAGCTATGGAAAATGAATGAACATGACCCATTTATAGATGATGTACCTATTAAAAATGGTGATTTTCCATAGCATACTGTTGAGTTATTAGATGTTAAATCCTATTGTTTTTCATTATAATCCCATTAATTCCCTTGAAATCCCAGCTGTTTGGTGGTTTCAACCCCTCCGAAAAATATGAAAGTCAGATTGGATCATCATCCCAACTATTGGGAAACATAAAACATGTTCCAAACCACCAACCAGCCAGTAGTTTGACACCTGTTCTGCCAATTGTATTCTTGGTGCCTGTAATTAGGCTCGGAATTCCTCGAGGGATGCCATCCCAACAGGCCAAGATAAAAAAGGTCGGTTTCGGTCCAACTTCAAGCCAAAAGCTACAGTGGGACCTAGGACTTAGATCCTGGTACATATATCAGAATTATCACATAATATATATAAATACACGTATTATACATATATTATCCAAAAATATATATACATACATATACATATACATACATACATATACATACATACATATATACATTACATTACATTACATTACATTGCATTGCATTGCATTGCATTGCATTGCATTACATTACATTACATTACATTACATACATTACCATACCATACCATACCATACATTACATTACATTACATTGCATTGCATTGCATTACATTACATTACATTACATTACATTACATACATAGATACATATACATATATATATATATATACATATATATATATATACATATATATACATATATTTATATATATACACATAAATATATACATATATATATATATACATGTTTTACATATATTATACAAAAACAAACACACATATATGTTATCATATATATTTTGATTTTTAATCTTCACCATTCTTCACCATATTTTTTCTGATTTTCCTAGTTCCATGCATCCTTTTCCCTTGAAGGTGATGGTCCTTTTCACACCGACTTCTTGATTTAAAAGCGGGCTAAGCGTGTTTCCTGGTCAAATCATCTTTTTTGGGTTAGAATATGTTTAAAACCCGCGTTTTATATAGTCAAATTATGTCAAACTCATTTTTATTGCTGGACGAATCCATCATTTACGAGGTGAAATCCCAATGTTTACCAGTCAAACTACCATTCTTGCTCGTCAACCCCCAAATTTGGATGGTTGAATCCCAATTCTTAACAGTCAGATCATCAGATCCACATGTTCCATGGTGAGTCCAATGAACTCACCCAATCTGCGCTGGCCGCTGGCAGCATCCGAGGTGCCAGAAGCAGGAGCATGGTCACATTCCCAGCACCACAGGTGCCCAGATAGGCCCGGGCCAAGGGCCACAGTGGCGGCAACGGCTCCACCGATGTAGGGCCTGAGACGCGACAGGTGCTGCGGTGGGACTCTGCGGTTCGAACTTTTTTGGGGATGTTGAGGTCCAAGAAAAGGGGGATTTCATCCGGATTCAACCCCAAATCTAGGATATATCTTTTCAACATGTCTCTTCATTGCAAGTGCTATATACCCCGAAGATATAAGATCATCAAATTATCCCAAACATGGATTCAGTAATTGGCATTGAAACAATATCAATTCATGACTCAGGAATACCAAGCTACCCCTGAAATTGAATCAAGGGAAATTTAGATTCTAAGCGAGGAAATGAGGGATTCAGCCAACAAATGCAGGGTGGGTAAACCGGCAAACCTGGAAAATTGAACAATGCAAACAATATTGAAGAAACAACACATACCCTCTGGTAATTTAACATAGCTATGGAAAATAATCATTTTTAATGGGAAAATCCAATGAACATCCACTATAAACGGGCAATTTTCCATAGCTATGTTAGTTTACCAGAGGGTAATCCAACAAACACCAATATAGGGGATCATCCTCCAATTATCCTTTGGATCCTTTGGGATTCCTTTGGATCACAGCTGCACCATATTGATAATTCATCCAATGCAGTTCTCCACCAAACTCAAACAACGGGCGCAAGATACCACCGCCTAATTCTGGTTTAAGCCAATTAAGAAGTAGGCGAAACACAGGATATGTAGTCATGACATGGCATGGCATGATATGATGGGTGGTTCAACAAATATGCTGGTCCCTGATAGAAACCATCGAATCCCTTTACAATGATTGCACGAGAATGCACACGAATATCTAATCAAATGAAACCATTGGAACCAATTTTCAAAATCGTTCCTTCAAAGTGGACATTAATATAAATTATAATATTTCACTCACCTGAATTAAGGCCACATCACTTCTCTTCCGAACCCCCGGCCATACACCTGAATTAAGGCCATTTGCGGATGATTTCCCTTATATCCACACTTATGGCCATTTATCAGTTATAAGTACTTATAACCCCATTTATAGGTCATGTATAATCCCATTGAAATAACCAGTTATAACTGGTAAATGGCCATAACTGTTAATATCTGGTCATTACTATCTATGGCCAACATCATCCAACATCGCGGGCACTCCCCATCCGCCATCCTTCAGGTTGACACTTTTGCTGCGGTGAGCCTTCGGACCGCGTCACCAATGGGATCAACGGAACTCTGAAACCCTCTGAGCTTCATGGAGATGTAGCGTACCACGGGGAATTGGGATATAAGTAACTACAAAGCAGCACAATAATATCTAAATCTAAATCTATGTCTATATCTATGTAGATATATATATATAAATACATATACGTACCAACACACCTATATGTAGATTTGGCATATCTGTTTATCGATCTCTCTGCAGCAAAATAATCTGTTCGTACCCCCTGGTAATCAAACGTGGCAGGTTTTCCATTGCCAGCTTTGATGACCAGAGGATAATCCAATGGGTTTCCTCTTATTTTGAGCCCATATACAATATACTGTGTATATATATATATATATATGTACCATTTTTTTGAACAATAAACATGACACAAAAAAAAACAACTTCAAATAAACCATGCCATATAAACATAAACCCATCCTATAAATAAACCATATAAACCCATAAAATAAACAATCACTAAAATTCTGGTTGTGTCCGCCCACATCGAAACGAAACCAGCGTTTCCACCTGGCGTCTCCAGCGCCAACAAGGCATCGCCCAGGAGCTTCAGAGGTGGCCTGACCAAAATCCACGAATGGCAAGAATCATGACTGTCATTATGTACATAAATGGTATTAACTGTCATCTATATGGGCCATTATATGGAATTAGTATTGGGATTATGGTTTGCGAATATTTGGGACTAATCATATTGTAAATTAATTGTTGGCATTAAGATTGTAAATATCACGATTGTGACTGTCATCTATTTGGGATTCATATTGGGATTAAGGCAATAAATCCCAATATGTATATGGTATTGTATATTAATGGTATTGAAATATGTGGGAAGATGCATTAATAACATGGTAAATTAATGGGCATTAACAATTGTATATCAATGGTATTGACTATCATATATTTGGTATTAATCTGATTAATCATGATTATGGCAATGAGTCCCAATATGTCAATGGTATTGAACTATGTGGGTTAAATATGGATTAATAACATGGTAAATTACTGGGTATTAAGAATACTGTATGCATTATGTCTATTTTTTTGTATTTGTTTTTGGATTAACAATAGTCCTTATGTATAATGTATATATATATATTGTTTGTAATATTTGGGATTAACCAATTAACCACATTGTAAATTGATGCTGTTATGGAAATGAAGCTAGATCCCCATGGGATCGCCATATACCACTATGAAAATCGAGAATGGCAGCCCTAACATTGAATAGCCCCTTAAATGGTCTTCCAAAATGAACACATTCCATACTAAACCAGGCTTTCGTGTGGTAATACGAGAGGAAGGGATTTATAGGATGAAACTGCTAAGAAAAAATGCCTGCGTAGATCGTGGGAAGGAGCTAAGGGCAAGCATATCATATAATACAACTATTATATTTAATCATTACATTTCATTACCATAATAATCAAGTGCAACATAGGAAGCTTCCAACGCCCTTGCAATGAAGGAGTAATGAAACATAGTATCATAATGAATTTTAGTGTTATTGGTGGGTTTCGGTAACTATGTATGTATATAGAGAATTATAAATAATATTAATATAATAATATTAATGTACAAATATATATATATATATATTTAGGATTATAATTGGATTATATATAGACTTATAGACATGTAATCAAAACAGGACATTCATTTCTGGAAGCCGCCATGGGGTCTGCCAAAGTTCGAAATCAGGGCAGAACTGCAGCAAGCTGCTCCCCTTTCGGGCGCCGTTCTGGCAGGACTTCCCAGAATTCGCGCTAGTAGGAGAGCTCGGGCACAGGTGATCCCTTCCTTCAAAACAAACGCAACTCAAGCAAGGTGAGCAAATGGCTAAACAAACAAACAATGAAATCAATGAACATGCATTATATCCCATATAATCCAATATGTATTACTATATCATTTCTGAATATGTCCCTTATCTTTCCATTTGCTTGTGATAGACCCGGCATCAAACCCCGGTCTGGTCGTTGGCCGACGTGCCTTGGATCTTGCGAAGCGACAGGTTCGACCTGGCAGAAGATTCTGATTTATAGAAACACTTGTATTACACTGGAAATCACAATAAACCATCTTAAATCAACAACAAAAAATAAACAACTTAAGCATACTTAAGCTAAATCAAAGTTTAAACCCGATATATTCCATAAAATTTCCATGTATTCCATAACATGTCCATGATATTCCCACATATTCTGGTTGGTGGTTTCAACCCCTCTGAAAAATATTAGTCAAATCTGATTATTGTTCCCAATATATGGAAAAATATGAAATGTTCCAAACCACCAATCAGACTGTGTTTACTATGTAGATGAACTATAAATGGTTGGTACTATGGTACCATCTAAAACACCATCTAAAACTAGTATCTGGTGCTCAAATCTCCAAACATCCTCACCTCGTCTTGTCGCAGCAACTTCCCTTGCCGCAGCCACAGCACGCGGTCGAAGCTGTCCAAGCCGTCGACCTCCGCGTCGGAGCCGATGGCCACCAGGAGCGCCACGCTCCGCGCGCGGGTGGAGGCGCAAAGCTGCGCAAGCTGCGCAGTGGCCTGGAAGCATGGGAAAAGGCTGGGAGTTTCGCCTTGAAATATGGGAAACATTGGGAAATTCATGGAAATTATAGCATCATAACATCAAATTCATGGAAATTATAGCATAACATCATGTAACATCATGATTTGATCGTGATCCATCATGGAAAAAATGAACACTTCAAACCCCAAAGCAGTTTGGTATGCTTATCCTTTGGAAAAACAGCACGTGTCCCCTGCCAGGGCCTTCCCGCAGTCCCAAAGCAAGAGCTCCACGTCTGACAGCATCTCGTCCTATCGCCAGTCAAGAAAAACAAACTCACAGAAAAACACCTGAATTACCATGTGATATCATTTTTTCAGCAGAAAATAGTTGTATGGAAAACAACATCTCAGATGCAATATAGAGTCATTCTGTTGGAAACCAGGATCTGAGTTCAACATATTGCCGTCGTACTAAACATGACCAATTTATACCAATTTCTGTGGTTCCGTACCCCACTTTGGATCACCATAGCACCAGACAATAATGGACTTGTCCAACAGCATCCAGCCATTCCCGGTCCAGAAGCATGGCATCCATGGCATCCGCGCTGCCCTTGACAAAACGCCTGGATCGGAGAGATCTGCTGCTTCGAATATCATTTCCTCCGTGGAAATCAATGGGATACAACTGATACAACTACGCAACTACTGGGCTTGGAAACAACATGCAGTGTGATGTAGTTAATGTAGTTGTATTCAAATTCATCCAAGTTCCATTTTTGCCAAATTCATCCAAGTTCCATTTGTTCAACACTTTTGGAACATGCATTGTGAGTGCCTTGTCGGTTGCGGGATCCGATGCCCCACGGTGTCCAGCAAGGAAGCTCCACAGAGCAGTCAACTTCATAAGTTGTCATTAGACAAAAAACATGTGAAACAACGATATCATCCATTCCCTCTAGACTTTAACATTAACTACCACCCTTAGATATGAAAGTCATGATTTTCCAGAACCCAAAGTTGCCCGAATACGTGTTTTCAATTGTGTTCTTTTCCTTTTGGAGGTCCAACCCACCAACAGTGGTGAACAAATGTAAATTCATGTAATTTCCATCGCCTTTCATCGCCTTTCGGGAAGCAGTCTGCGAGGCACAACCTACAAAAAACAGTCAAAAAAGGTAAGTTCCAACCTGCCTTTCCTTTTCCTTCTCTGCTTTTATCCTTTACCTCATCCTTTCCTGTTTCTTCTTTCTGTTTTGAAAGGCTCACAACCCTCACCAGAGGGATGTGAAACAGGCCTGAACCCAGTCTGAGACCCCGAAGTTCTGAAGAACACCAGTGGCATGCCCATGAGCCCCTCTATTTGGTGAGTTTTCCGACTTTTCCATTATGTTCATTTCATCTCCCTATTACTTCTCCTCATAATTCTCCTTTTTTTCCCATTCTTTTCAGGTCTGTTTGTTCTTTTTGGGTTCCTCTTCTTTTCTGTTCACCGTAATTCTTTTCTGTTTTTTTTCTTTCCCCTTGCGACTCAATCACATCCTAGCGACCCCAGTTTTGTCGAGCCACGGCGAACAGAGCGTCCTGAGGGTAAGATTATACATTCATCAAACTGTATTAGATCATGATTTGACACATCAACCCAAGATCTTCATTTTTTTCCCGAAATGGCGGTTTCCGTTTCGTCATGCGGGTAACCCCCAAATCATCCAAGTCATGGATGACCATGACTTAGTATTGAAACAACTATGGTGACTTGGGGATACCCCCATTTTCGGACACTCAAAATATCTTGACCTATGTGAACTATTTTACTAAGTGTCATCTTAACATTTCTTAACAATTAATCATAAAGAACATTGAATAAAAATTACCTAACTCATATTAAATAACTATAATTATAATTAACATATAATAATTCATGTTAATGTTTAACCCCATTCAATTCATGTTAAATAACATTAAAATGGCATCAATAACTCTTAACCATTGACCCCATAACCATTAAATAACCATGAAATAACAATTAAATAACCATTAACCATCTTAACCATGAAAATAACAATGACTCTCAACACTCATGGGGTTTAATTCATGTTAAATCACATTGAATAACAATTACCCCCATGACCCCGACGGCCCATTTGGGCTCCCGGTCTGCCTCTTGGAAGTGGAGGACACACACGCCAGGCCACAAGGGAAAAGCTCCTCGGTGGGGGGTCATGGTTTCACCATGGCATAGATGGGACATTGTTATGGGAAAAATATGGGACAAATCATGGTAAATGATCCTATGGTAACAAACCTAGATAATAGATGATCATAGGATCTCTATATTTACCATATTTGTTTTATGGGTTTATGGGGAACAAACCCTACATAAATCAGCATAAATATAGAGATCCTATGGTAAAAATATGTAAACATCCTACATCACAATGGTTTCAATGAGAACATATAATTGGAGTTTAGTGGGAAAATTGTCGATCTGAATGGAGAGGTTTCATTGAAATGTCAATTACCGAAGAGTCGTTGACCAAAATAAAACGGAGTCGGATAACACATATACTGTATACTAATTACAATGTATGCTCTACTACAAGCGACTGACTAAAGTCTTAATAGTTTATATTAGTCAGTTAGTCAGTTAAACTAATCTATATCTATATATATATATATATCTATATATATATTATATATGTATATATGTATATATGTATATATGTATAACTGGCTCATATATCTATATCTCTCTCTATATATATATATAAACTGACTAATATATCACTAGCCTTGATCCCTTTAAAGTTGTTTCGGTAGTACCCGGTGACACCGGTTACATATCCATATACCTTGGGATGCACCTCCAGTGGACCACATGTGTGCGAGAAGTAGGCTTTGATTTAACCATCAAATGACCAGACATGAATGGTTAAATGATGGTTAAATGATGGTTAGTTGATGGTTAAATGATAGTTTAAATGATGATTAGTTGGTGGTTAAATAATGGTTAGATGATGGTTAGTTGATGGTTAAATAATGGTTAAAAGATGGTTAGCTGATGGTTAAATAATGGTTAAATGATGGTTAGTTGATGGTTAAATGTTTGATAAATGATGATTAGTTGGTGGCTAAATAATGGTTAAATGGTGGTTAGTTGATGGTTAAATTATGGTTAAACGATGGCTAGTTGATGGTTAAATGATGGTTAAATTATGATATGTTTTATGGTTAAATAATAGTCAAATGATGATTAGTTGATGGTTAAATAATTGTTAAATGATGGTTAGATGATGGTTAAATGATGGTTAAAAGATGGTTAGTTGATGGTTAAATGATGGTTAAATGATGATTAGATGATTGTTAAATAATGTTTAAATGGTGATTAGTTGATGGTTAGTTGATGGTTAAAAGATGGTTAAATGATGGTTAAATGATGGTTAGTTGATGGTTAAGTGTTTGATAAATGATGATTAGTTGGTTGTTAAATAATGGTTAAATGATGGCTAATTGATGTTTAAATAATGGTTAAATGATGGTTAGTTGATGGCTAGTTGATGGTTAAATGATGGTTAAATGATGATATGTTTTATGGTTAAATAATTGTCAAATGATGATTAGTTGATGGTTAAAAAATTGTTAAATGATGGTTAGTTGGTGGCTAAATGATGGTTAAAAGATGGTGAGTTGATGGTAAAATAATGGTTAAATGATAGTTAGTTGGTGGTTAAATGATGGTTAAATGATGATTAGTTGATGGTTAAATAATGGTTGAATGATGGTTAGTTGATGGGTAAATAATGGTTAAATAATGGTTAGTTGCTGGTTAAATAATGGTTAAATGATGGTTAGTTTATGGTTAAATGTTTGATAAATGATGATTAGTTGGTGGTTAAAAAATGGTTAAATGATGATTAGTTGATGGTTAAAACAATGGTTAAATGATGGTTAGTTGATGGTTAAAAAATGGTTAAATGATGATTAGTTGATGGTTAAATGATGGTTAAACAATGATTAGTTGATGGTTAAATAATGGTTAAATGATGATTAGTTGATGGTTAAATAATGGTTAAAAGATGGTTAGTTGATGCTTAAATGATGGTTAAATGATGGTTAGTTGGTGGTTAAATGATGGTTAAATGATGGTTAGTTGATGGTGATATGATGGTTAAATGATGGTTAGTTGATGGTTAAATGATGATTAAATGATGATTAGTTGATGGTTAAATGGTGATTAGTTGATGGTTAAATGATGGTGAAATGATGATTAGTTGATGGTTAAATGATGGTTAAATGATGGTTAGTTGATGGTTAAATGATGGTTAAAAGGTGGTTAGTTGATGATTAAATGATGGTTAAATGGTGGTTAGTTGACGGTTAAATGATGGTTAAAAATGGTTAGTTGATGGTTAAATGATGGTTAAAAGATGGTTAGTTGTTGGTTAAATGATGGTTAAATGATGGTTAGTTGTTGGTTAAATGATGGTTAAAAATGGTTAGTTGATGGTTAAATAATGGTTGAATGATGGTTAAATGGTGGTTAGTTGATGGTTAAATGATGGTTAGTTGATGGTTAGTTGACGGTTAAATAATGGTTAAATGATGGTTAGTTGATGGTGAAATGATGGTTAAATGATGGTTAGTTGATGGTTAAATGATGGTTAGTTGATGGTTAAATGATGGTTAAAAGATGGTTAGTTGATGGTGAAATGATGGTTAAAAGATGGTTAGTTGATGGTTAAATGATGGTTAAATGATGGTTAGTTGATGGTTAAATGATGTTAAAATAATGGTTAGTTGATGGTTAGTCGATGATTAGCTGATGGTTAATTGAATTTATTAGTTGATGGTTAAATGATGATTAGTTGATGCAGTAATGATGATTAGTTGGTGGTGAAATGATGGTTAAATGATGATTAGTTGATTGTTCAATAATGGTTAAATGATGGTTAGTTGATGGTTAAATGATGGTTTAAAAATGGTTAGCTGATGGTCAAATGATGGTTAAAAGATGGTTAGTTGATGGTTAACGATGGTTAGTTGATGGTTAAATGATGGTTAAAAGATGGTTAGTTGATGGTTAAATAATGGTTAAGTGATGGTTAGTTGATGGTTAAATGGTGGTTAGTTGACGGTTAAATGATTGTTAAAAAATGGTTAGTTGATGGTTAAATGATGGTTAAAAGATGGTTAGTTGATGGTTAAATAATGGTTAAATGATGGTTAGTTGATGGTTAAATGGTGGTTAGTTGACGGTTAAATGATGGTTAAAAATGGTTAGTTGATGGTTAAATGATGGTTAAAAGATAGTTAGTTGTTGGTTAAATGATGGTTAAATGATGGTTATTTGATGGTTAAATGATGGTTAAAAATGGTTAGTTGATGGTTAAATAATGGTTGAATGATGGTTAAATGGTGGTTAGTTGATGGTTAAATGATGGTTAGTTGATGGTTAGTTGATGGTTAAATAATGGTTAAATGATGGTTAGTTGATGGTGAAATGATGGTTAAAAGATGGTTAGTTGATGGTTAAATGATGGTTAGTTGATGGTTAAATGATGGTTAAAAGATGGTTAGTTGATGGTGAAATGATGGTTAAAAGATGGTTAGTTGATGGTTAAATGATGGTTAAACTAAATAATGGTCAAAAGATGGCTAGTTGATGGTTAAATGATGGTTAAATGATGGTTAGTTGATGGTTAAATGATGTTAAAATAATGGTTAGTTGATGGTTAAATGATGGTTAGTTGATGGTTAGTTGATGGTTAAATGGTGGTTAAAAGATGGTTAGTTGATGGTTAACGATGGTTAGTTGATGGTTAAAAGTTGGTTAGTTGATGGTGAAATGATGGTTAAAAGATGGTTAGTTGATGGTTAAATGATGGTTAAAAGGTGGTTAGTTGATGGTTAAATGATGGTTAAAAGATGGTTAGCTGATGGTTAAATAATGTTTAAATGATGATTAGTTGATGGTTAGTTGATGGTTAAAAGATGGTTAAATGATGGTTAAATGATGGTTAGTTGATGGTTAAGTGTTTGATAAATGATGATTAGTTGGTTGTTAAATAATGGTTAAATGATGGCTAGTTGATGTTTAAATAATGGTTAAATGATGGTTAGTTGATGGTGAAATGATGGTTAAAAGATGGTTAGTTGATGGTTAAATGATGGTTAGTTGATGGTTAAATGATGGTTAAAAGATGGTTAGTTGATGGTGAAATGATGGTTAAAAGATGGTTAGTTGATGGTTAAAAGATGGTTAAACTAAATAATGGTCAAAAGATGGCTAGTTGATGGTTAAATGATGGTTAAATGATGGTTAGTTGATGGTTAAATGATGTTAAAATAATGGTTAGTTGATGGTTAAATGATGGTTAGTTGATGGTTAGTTGATGGTTAAATGGTGGTTAAAAGATGGTTAGTTGATGGTTAACGATGGTTAGTTGATGGTTAAAAGTTGGTTAGTTGATGGTGAAATGATGGTTAAAAGATGGTTAGTTGATGGTTAAATGATGGTTAAAAGGTGGTTAGTTGATGGTTAAATGATGGTTAAAAGATGGTTAGCTGATGGTTAAATGATGGTTAAAAAATGGTTAGTTGATGGTTGAATGATGGTTAGTTGATGGTTAAATGCTGGTTAAAAGATGGTTAGTTGATGATGAAATGATGGTTAGTTGATGTTTAAATGATGGTTAAATGATGGTTAAATAATGGTTAAATGATGGTTAGTTGATGGTTAAATGATGGTTAAAAGATGGTTAGTTGTTGGTTAAATGATGGTTAGTTGATGGTTAAATGATGGTCAAAAGATGGTTAGTTGATGGTTAAATGATGGTTAGTTGATGGTTAAATGATGGTTAAAAGATGGTTAGTTGATGGTTAAATGATGGTTAGTTGATGGTTAAATGATGGTTAAATAATGGTTCAATGATGGTTAAAAGATGGTTAGTTGATGGTTAAATGATGGTTAGTTGATGGTTAGTTGATGGTTAAATGGTGGTTAAAAGATGGTTAGTTGATGGTTAAAAGATGGTTAGTTGATGGTTAAATGATTGTTAAATGATGATTAGTTGATGATTTAACCATAACATCAACTGTTGGACCTGGATGTTTCTTTTCTTTGAAGGACACATCTCTTCTGATGCCTGCAGCCTCTGCCAAGTTAATACTGCCGCTGCTTGTCGGTTGCAATAGAAAGATCTGGATATTTCAGGCTCACCAACCCTTGCAGAAGTTAGTTCTGCCACGCAGTAACTCCTAGTCCACGTTTGGTGAGTCCACACTTACACCCAATGACGTGAACAAACACTCCAACCAAAGTTACTTCTAGTATCTTCTAGTGATGTGAAGTGAAACAAAGTGAAACACTTGCATAACGCTTGACACATACAATTGCAACCAACTGTGCCTCGCTTGACACCCATTCCCATACGACCAAACTGTGGCCTATTCGCGGTTGCTGATTCGAACTGGAAGAAACTTTAACAAGGTACATGAACACATCCGTTCAGGGTGCCTGAGTGCCTTAGGAATCTTAGGAGAAAGGGACAAACCAATGGCAATAGATTCCCTCTCGAAAAACGAAAGTAGCCAATGGGAGAATAGACAATCACCTTGGTGCCGGTTGTTTGTTAATGTTTGATGGCAATAGCCTTCTTTGGGTCCTAGATTTGTTTGAAGCAAAATCACCGTTGTATCTCATCATACCATTGGCTTAGGATTGGTGTACACACTCGGTGTTTGTTGTTTCAATCTTTATTGTATCCCAGTGTGTATGCCATCCAATACCATTATATATATAATATAATATATATATAATATATACACACCCCATTTCCCACTTCATGATCTCTCATAATGTTCCATTATAATATATATCCCAGTGTCATACCATATTCCATCATATTCCCAGCAACTTCCCCCGAGGCTGCCATTTTTTATCGCGTGAAATGAATCCGAGCAGCTCCCAGCAGGGCCAACAGGAGGGCGCTCTTGCCACTGCCTGGCGCACCCATCACCGCGACGCACTCACCGCGCTGCAGCGAAAGCTCCATCGCCAAACACGTAGGACCTGGCAGCTGAGAGCAAGGCCAAAGCTACGATCGCTACGATGATCCAGATGGGTCCTGGGATTTGTCAAGTAGTAACTATAAGTTATAAACCATTATTTTTGGTCAGTTTTGTTTTGTCGCCAGTCACTAACCAAGTAACTAATCCCTGCACCCATCTAAGTAGTTTTATTACTATAATAACCCTCAAAAAGATAGACATGCATTATATAATGTATATATATATATATATAAGGGAAGACGACGGGACATGATATGGAAAAGGAATTGAAGTTGAGCAGGCTTTTACGTTTCTATAGTGGGAATACAATGGAAACACAGGGGAATATGCACACACACATACATGAAGATATAACGGGAATATAATGATGGGAATTGTAAACATATGAGATAAATCGGAATAATGAAAGGGGTACATAATGGCAATATCTGGGGACATTGCGGCAGTATAGTGGGATATGGTGGGAATTAAACAAAACACCAACCAAAGGCATATAATAACCAACAAGAAATATATACAAGTAATTTACGACCATTTTAGTTGGATTTTATTGTTTTATCTTCACAGGCGGTGCTAATTAGTGGGAATGTATTGGACATATAATGGGATGTAATTGAAATGTATGAACATATTGTACATAAATAATCAACAAGCACTACATACATAATATACCATCTGGTTATTTAACATAGCCATGGAAAATCCCTAATAAATGGAGGTTTCAATGGGAAAATCATCTATAAATTGGCCATTTTCCATGGCTATGTTAAATAACCAGAGGGTATACATAGTATGAATTTAATGGGATGTGATATGGACCATATGGACCATAAATCCAGCAACATGGCATATATTGATAGATAACATGGTAACATATAGTGAGGATATATTATACTAGTATAATGAGATATAATGGAAATATCTGGAGATGTGGACATAATGGACATACATCATATATGCGATACAATGGAAAATGGAAGTACATGGGATATAAGATGCGATCTGATCGGATGTAATCAATGGCGGTTCATTAACATTCTCGACTAATCCCCTCGTCCTATTACTAAACCCCCTCCTAATACTAAAAACTAGTGTCCATCTCCATTCTTTGAAAATTTCAGTTTGGCCAATTTGACTTTTAATTGATCCCCTTTAGAAAACAATTTGAAAATCAACCTACCATTTGTGGGTTCCCCCCCCCTAATACTAAAAACTAGTCAACCCCAGGGTGTTAAGTATTAGGGGGAAGCTTCGAAATCCAATTTTTGGCAATAGTTTAATTGCGTTATATAAGGAAATTTAATTGATTTTGAAATTGGAAAAACTAGTTTTTATTATTAAGGTTTTTAATTTAGTATTAGGGGGAAGCTTCGAAATCCAATTTTTGGCAATATTTTAATTGCGCTATATAAAGAAATTTAACTGATTTTGAAATCGGAAAAAAATGTTTTTATTAAGGGTTTTAATTTAGTAATAGGGTTCCCTAATACTAAATACCCCCTTTATACTAAAAACTACCTGCAGTGTTTATTATTAGGGAGGGGGTTTAGTATTAGGATGAAGGGATTACATGTGGCTTGTGATCTATATTATATGGGGTTGTAGAAACATGCTGAACACTCTAAAACTGACACATGATTGGGACATTGATGAGAATCCTTTGGATTTTAGGGTATTTCAGACAAACCAATGTGGGATACGCATCTAATAATCACATTTTATCTTCAGCTGGGTACCAGTATCATGTTCCTCCGTTTCTGGCAAGACCATGATGTCTTAAAGTATTCTTCAATAAAGTTCCCCTTGCAAAGTAAATACCATGATTGATCAGTTGCTAATCAGTTGCGAAGCTATACTATGCTATACTGGTGTGGGCAGTGGGTACGACCGGCATTTGTGATCCCCTGGCAAAAAAAATGCAAACCCAATTTGTGGGGCCATCAAAACCCTATGAATCCAGCTGGTATAAGCCCGCAAATGCCGCAATAAAAACATGGAACGACCAGTTTGCCTGGCAAACCCACCATTCACATCTATTCACCACTTCTATACCACTTCTACACTTGGACAGGGTTGCTGACAATTACTACGATTGTTAAGGATCTTTAACCATCATTAACACTTCTTAACCTCTATGTTGACATTATATAAATCACTTTTATTCACCAAATATACACCGTTATTTACCATTTATTCACTATTAACCACTTGCTTAATCATCATTCACCATCATTCACTATTTAAGATAAGTCTTAATCACTCATCAGTATGAACCACCACAATTCTCAATTCTCACTATAATTTCACCAAACCTCCAGCCTCCAGCAGCACTTAGATCCTCCCAGTGGCGCCTCCCTCCTCGAAGCTGAAACTCCCCGAGATCCGCGCGGGCGTTGCGGCGCCGCAGAGCGGCCTCCGCACCACGTCCTGCGGCATCTCGGGCTGCGCCAGGAAGCACTCCTGGGGCCGTCGATCAAAATTGTTGCAATGTGGACTTAAGCAGCAAAACGGTGGATTTCAGCACACTCCATCCCATAATTATGAGTTATTATTCAACCATCATTTTCCCATATTTTCCCATCATTGTTCCACTTAAGGGCCATTTTATGGTGATCCTGAACGCCATCGCCAAGGCGCCACTCGTTGCAGTGCGCCCGGCAAGTGCCAGGCCCGGCGAAGACCCGAAAAGATCAGGGAAACACCTGAGTTTTTTCCGCGAATCGGTTCGGGGGTAATGATTATGGCCATTTAAGGTGCTATAGACGGTCCCTATAGGGAGTCCCTAGGGTTCGTTAAGTAGTTAACAACGGGGTTACAATCCATTAATTAGTCAGTCTTTTTCGCCACTTACTAACCAGTGAACTAATCCACGGCCCATCTAAGTACCAATTTATTAGGGCTACCTACCCTCTTTCTTCAGGCCTATGTATGCAAGGGGGTTTGTCCCCTATGGCTTTACATATCTTTACATGGTAGGGTCTTAAAATGTCCATTGATTGGGGCTGCAAACCGGGTTACTGATGGGTAAAGACTAAATGGACCATAGGGATAGATGATTTACATATGATTTACATTCGTTTTTTGTGTAATGGTAAGTAACTATGGGTTATTCTACAATGGGTAAACTATGGGACTTAAACCTCTGTAAGCTGGGTTATAAGGGGCCTCTACAACTATGATAATGATACAAACCCACCTATTATAGTAAGCAAGATATACTTTGTATCATCACATATATATTCCATCAGGTAAGTTGTATGATATACAATACTATGTTGTAACTGAAAGCATGATAGTATGTGGTACATTTCAAATAATAAGTGGATGTAAGCGCCTAGAGATTCCATCTAAGTGGGGTCTATCTTGTATGATTACCAACTCAGAGTCACACAGCAAAACATGACGAACATATAGAACATGTTCATGTTGCCACCATTTTACTTAGATTCCAGTGTTCTATCTTTTTGGAGCTTGCTATAAGCATGTCATTATTTGTGATTGAAACAGCCAAGACTACAACAAATTGCCTATATTGAACAAGTACTGCACGAATACATATAGTTGTTTGGTAGGTATTTTTTGGTCCAACAGTTTTTGGCCAATTTTTATTTTCAGCATTTTCAGCAACAGTTGCAATTTCACCAAGAATAAGTAAGATTCTAGTACGAGACATAGAGAATCATAGAGATGTATCAAATAAAAAAAACAGGTTTCCAACCACATGGAGACCATAGGGATACCTGGAGCCATCTTCTACATGGTTTCCCAGTTGATGGCTCCAGATTCAGGTACCCAGGTACCCCAATTAGGAACCTGGTGCGCCCGGATGTGAAAAATCTACATATACATCTCTCTTTAATATACAGTGTAATTATGGTAATATATATATATATACTGTAGTATATAATGACATACAGTAGATGTCATTCAAACATCATGGGTAGGGGTGAAACTTTCAGTGCGAACCAGTGACCCACAAAAAATACTAACACATCCCGTAGAATCTTTGGGGACCGTCACATGCCAAGGCACATGCTTGCAGTGATGTCATCATCTGCAACCTGACATGGCCATCTTGAACACTGCTCACATGGTCCTGACATTGTCCGCACAATCTATGTGAACCAAGATGTCTACCTCGTGCTCTGTGCTCTGAAGATGCTCTTCAGCACGCAAATACCCAAAAGCTTCAGGAATTCTCTCGGTCGGGCTGTCCAATCCAATTCCGGCCGTGTTTTCTTCAGTCAGTCAGTGATTGTTTCAGGAATGTCAAACAAGTAAGCACAGAACATCGCTGAACATGAAAAAAATCCTGGGTCCGAAGCTTTCTGACAAAAACTCTGAACCTTTCTGACGAAGCCTTTGGCAGGTCCTGGATAGGACTAGGAGACGCCTGGTAGATAGACGTTCTTCTCCCTAATTCAGATGGTGTTACGTTGACGGTTCCCCAAACCTTCGAACACTCACCATTTTGGCAGTTTGAATATTTTTGGGTTTCTGGCTGAAAATAAGAAACTCCCCAATAAGAAACCCTCCAAGAAGACCTGCATCGAGGTACATGAGCCACAAGTTCCGCGCGGAGACCTGCGTTTCTCGTGTGGCCAAATAAAGGCTTGCCACCACCACTAACCACACCTCAAGGGTTTTCGCAAGGTCGCAGGGTGTCCACCATGGTCCACCCATCAGGGAACAAGTACCGAATCAGGAAATGAGATGAACCACTGAACCACAAAATCTACCCTCTGGTAATTTAACGTAGCTATTGAAAATGGCCATTTCTAGTGGATTTACCCATGAAAAAATGGGATTTTCTATAGTTATGTTAGTTTACCAGAGGGTAGCCATGACGATCAAGAAATGGCGAGGAATCTAAACTTTAGACACTCTGTTTGAACCACGAATGGCTCCTGGAAAATCCCCAAATTCCATCGGAAAATCCTACTGAAGGGGGTGAGCCATTCCATTCACCCTATTGTTCTCCTGAACCAAATTTTCCGAAGCAGCTTCAACATACGAGCAGGCTGCAACCCAACCAAGTCTCCAAAAAACGAGGACGAACTGGCCACCCAACATCAAAAAATCTTGGAGCTGGCGATTTTGGAACCACAAACCAAAGCGAAAACATGGAAAAGACTAAAACACATTTTTTATAACACATAATAACATTACCACGCCAAGGTGCTACGGCATGAAGGGTTCCGGCCAGCATGGCCATCATCACCGAGTACCATTGGTTGGCCACCAGCTCACTTCGCCTGGAGAATGGGGATTGTGTTGAAATGGGGAGCTCACCAACCAAATTGGAGACTTTTCGAGGATTTGAGATGATTTTACCGTGAACATTTGGGACTTAACATGACTTAACCATGCTTATAATCAATAAATTTGATTTTCTTGGGAGAAACTTAACCGGAAACCCCCTGGGTCAAAGTAAAAATCCATCAAACATGACCATGATCCAAACACCGGATTTAAACCTATATGGGAATGCGCACCAGAATGAGACTACCTAACCTTGGACACTAGGCTGAAAAATGCTCATTCCATGTTTGCAATGTATGCTTGTAGCTCTTCGTCGGCTCAGCAAATCTCATCCATTGAATTCCATTCACCTGTGAAACCTGTATGTGTGCCAGTGTCTATGTGATTCTATGTGGCAAAAGCAACCCTCGAATGTCGATGAAGATCCTTCCGGCGCTTCAAGAGTTTGATCTTTCGATTGTGGACAAGTTGTATCCTGCGGCTATTATATATATATATAAAACATAGGTTTTTTAAAATAAAGATAGGTTTTTAATTTGGATCATCAAAATAACCAGGTTATTTATTTCCGACCCTAAGAATTTAAGGATATTGCCTCAGTAGGTATATATATTGCCAATGAACAAACTCACTCAGATATTACCTCAAGATCATCAAAACACATCAAACACGGACAGTAACAACGCTGACGCGTTAATAATTAGCTGGTAGATGGATGATGTTCCTGACCCATCCCCGCATGTAATGATGTTCCTAGATAATCCATGTGACTCCTAGACATATGTTCAGTAAATCAAACCTATCTTGCTTCCTGTTGTTTAAGCCGCATGTTTTAACTAGTTAAACCATCTGGATGTCTGAACATGGGGTAGGTAAAAACTAAACATATCATCATCATTGGGAAACATGATGCTGACCCTTTGGGGTTTGGAGGTGCCATGTGTCAGTCCTGGCGTTCATGATCTGTTCCTTAGTGGTCCGGTCGCAATCGCAATGGGATCCCAGAAAAGCACCACAAGGCCTTTATTTATGCGTTGCATTTTGAGCCATCATTTTTTTGGGGATTTATGATGCTTTATGGATGTTTATGGATGTTTGTTTGTGGTGGATATTGGTGGATACGGTATATATCTGCGGGTGTATGGCTTTATACACCGCCTGATACCCCACATCAACTGGCATCGTGCATTGAAAAACAGCAGTGGATATCCTGAAGGCCACGGGATGTTAGTTCATCGAGTTCAACAATGAACACCCCATGTCTAGCAGATCATGCCAGTATGAGTCCCAATCTTGACAATCTTCACTCCTGCATCCTCTCCCCATTTTCGCACCTTCAATTCACCTCTTTTGCTCGTAAAATGCTGATGTTTGCAGGTAGAATCCCCCATCATTGCTGAAATCTCCATCTTTGCGGCTGAAAGCCACATGTTTGCTAGTCAGATCTTCAGTTTGCTGGTGAAATCACAAAATTTGCTATGTACCAGTGCTACTGGCATTATGTTCCGCCTGTGAAATCGAAATCCTCCAGCAGAATCCTTCTCGCTTTCGCCCAGCGTCCCTCATCTCTTTCGATGCCTCGCTCTGACACCGAAGTCGCTCCTGATGCCTGCCAGGATCGGGCCCGATTTGGTGGGTACCCCTGGGTCACCAAGTGGCACATTGGCAGCCTATGGTGTACCCACTAAAGATCATCCTACGCAAAATAACTGAATGGTAACCCTGGTTAGTAAGTCCCCTAAGTCTGGGTTGTCCCATCTATTCATGGGTTATTACTATGCTTATTTAGCACTTACCAAGTGAATTGATCCTCATCCAAGTATAAGATTGAGAGTTGGTGTCCTGTTTCATTCCTGCCATAGAACACACGTAAAAACATGTTCGGGGAAACCAGCACTGCACCCGAATCATGAGTTTGTTTCATTTGCTTGCTGTCACAGTATCGCAAGTGCATCTCTCCACAATTTGGTTTTGTCATGTTTTGTCCAGTGATGAGTGATTACTCCAGAATTCCAACGGTTGGAGACTGCTTAAAACCTCAGTTTATCCTTGAAAATGAGCAAAATCCTATGTTGCAGGGTCAAGCACATTTTGACACATCAACTCCTTGCAGCTTCGGCGCCAGCGTTGGTAGTCCGTCCGGCTGGCGATGGCACACTTCACCAAGAGACCAGCAATCAAAGCGCCTGGATGGCGAAGCGGAGGACCATTTTTATGGGGGAACAGTTCGCTTCTCTTGTTTTACATATGTTTAATTCCTAAATCAACAAACCAACTTTTTTGGGTCCAAAAGAGGTCCCCCCTATCTCAAACACAGGTTTCGTTGAAACAAGCACAGGGCATCGGGCCCATAACTTACAATGAACATCACTTGGGGATCGACTGAGAACACCATCCCAAGTGGCAGACAAGTAACTTTGTGTGGCCAAGGGTGCACCAAGGCGTGCGTTTACATACGACTGGGGCCCCAAACAAATAATTCATTAAGAACAATCCGAATGACTCATTTTGCCTCTGGGCCTATGGTGGGTAAAATGAGTCATGTGTAAAGGTTAACCCAGGACTACACACTTTTGTAATCTTTTGTAGGAGATCTTTTTTGTCTTGACCTCCCATATCCAGCCAAGCATTGAAAGCTCCAAGATCATACAATGGCTTTGGTTTTTTCAAACAAATCCAGGGGCAAAAGTCCACCATAGCCATCCATAAAATTCCATAAACAGCTTCCCTCCGTCCCAAGCAAACCGTTCAGCAATTGCCTGGAAGAAGAAGAATGAGACCCAAAAGTCCAAAAAATCGCAGGTGCAGCACCTGCAGAAGCAGAAGTACACAGACCTCGCTGGCGAGCCAGGCTCACGTCAACCCAAGAGGTGGAATTTCACCAGAATATGGGTATGCGTCAATACCTATAGATACATTTTTGTGGGATGAACACCATTTACCAGCTATTTTGATGTTCACTAGGTACCAGGGGTTTGACCCATCTCCATATGGGTGTAGCATAGAGAGGCCTAGCATCCAACAGGGTCTCTCATAGAGAAATCTCAAGGTGCTTGTCTTTGGATTCAATCTGTTTTGGAGGTTGCAGGGTCGTTTTTTGCGCCGTCAGAGATCTGGGAACTTGAGAGCAAATGACCAAAAGTTGCCACATGTCAACTGACTCAGTAATTGGGTAATGAGTGTCAAATAATATGCCCAAGCGTCTGATACCATGTCTTCTCTTAGTTACCTTAGTTCTATCTCTATCAATATCATTTAGGGTATCTCAAATCCGCAGCCAACTCCATCCTCCATCCGCGCCAAAGGTACCATAAACGGGGCTGCTGTTAACAGCGCCAGGTTTCGAATCATCAAAGGCCCCTCTTGAACGATACCTGGGAGGACTGAAACACAGGATCCATGCTACGAAAGCATACGATACCCTCTGGATCCCTCTGGTAATCTTTTCTTTGTAACTTATATATATATATAATATATATATATGTATAATAATATGTATAGTTTAGAGTTTAGATAATATATGTATATAAAAAAAAATGAACCTTTCCCCACCATCAAAGTCGATCATGTTCCGAAAGATACCCTGCCATAAGCATAGATTATGTTCTGAAGGCTGAACCACTGGATTCCCATATTTTCATATATTTTCCATGTCTATACCCTACTCTTATCCTAGAGAACATCTCCCATGTTTTCGGGAAAAAAAACATGGAAAAACCATTGAGCCAAGGTACTCTCCATCAAGGCCATAGCCACCTGCCACCCTGTCAGCTCCTCGCTGCCATGGCCGTGATAGCTGGCGCCCAGAGGCAGCCGCAAGGCCTTCCTTGGGACCCGGGAGCCACATTTTGGCAGATCGATCCCCAAAGTTGTAACCTCCATGGAGGAAACCTCGATATTTTGGACAATTCCATGAAAATGACCAACATCCATCAGTGGAGGGTTCCAACTTTTGACCAACAAAATCGAACCTTATTTGGGGCAGGAGAAACACCCAAGAAGATTGGAATGATCTTGGGGGAGTTCACCAACAATATATACTTGGCGCTATACTCTCTATATAAACCAACAGAAACCCTTCTCTTCGGGGCACACGGTGGGTAGTTAAGCTCATATCATGGGGAGACCAAGATGGTGAAACATATCATGGAGCAAACACATTGGGATGTTTAGCAACTGATGGCTTTGGTGGAGACAATGCAAACTCCTGAAACATATCATATAGTCTGTATGATGTCTGTATATTTGATGTATATATTGTATATCATGTCAGTCATTATAGTCCATTGAGTTGATCATCCCTGTTGAACGGACAATGTTGGGGTCGCTTGAGGTCGGGAAATGATGGGACATGATCCAAAAGGATCTGAAGTCCACAAGGAGCCCTCCCCAGTTCAGGTGGTTTACAGCAGCCAGACTCTCGTCTGGAAGGCGACTGGCAGAAGGCGAGGCGAAATGAGCCATGAAACATACCCCTATCGTATCCCACTATACTGGTTGGTTAATAGATATCCCTCTCACAGGTAGCAATGAACCCCAATAACCAGGTCCTCACTGCCTCCTATCATCACCAAGGGATGCCGGTCATTTTCCAACACCCAAAAACGGTCATATCAACAGGTCTCCCTTTTCTGGAGCTTTTGTTTGCGATGCAAGCCCCCATCTATAAGTGGGCCCCCATCTATAGTGGTGAACTCCCCATTTATGCCCCGAGCATCTGAAACAGCATGGAGGTCAGCTCGTTGGTCACGGTGGCCATTTGAAGGCCATCCATCATCAACAGCAGCGCGCTGAAGTAACGGTAGAGCAGGGGCACCAGGAACAGCAGGAAGAGGACCTGGGGGTGCTGGGGGTGGGCCCCAGTTTTCTTGGCAAATCCACGAACTGAACAGATATTGAATCTCTTGAAATGGGGAAAGTCATCTATAAATCTGGGTAAATTATCATAATTATTTCACTAACCTGAATTAAGGCCACACCACTTCTCTTGCGGACCCCAGCCATACCCCGGCAGCTACCTGAATTAAGGCCATTTGGGGATAATTCCCCTTACTAACCATTATTCCAGTGAGGTCGCATGGTTCGGTCGTGATGAAATTTACCCAGATAAATGGAGATCTTCCATTGCCATGTTTGACTACCAGGTAGGATATGCTTCTTGGTTTACAAATCCTACGAATTAAAACTCTCTGGTCATTTCCTTGCCATGAACCCATTCGCAAAATACTCATGAACTAACTAAACCATGACTTAGCCGTGGGAATTGGGGCCTCACCTGGTGGGGATAGTATTATTGTGTATTACTGCAAGGAATTGGGAAGTGTGGGATCTCACATTGGGCAACAGGCAACGTCACAAAGAGCCGATCGATCATCTTTGATCAGCACAAGTGATGTCCCGTTTCAAGTTACAATCAGCACTTCATGCTTTGACGGTTTCCTCATGCTGCTATCTCCAGGATTCCAGGTAAGACACGGTAAGACCATATCTTCATGCAAATTTCCACCTACCAAACATTACCACAAGTCACATTCTGTCCTTGAAAAAAATATTTTGGTGCCATGCTAAATCCACTTGGCCAATCTATATTTTGCAATATTTTTCCCGAATTGCCATCAATACTGGCAATAGCGCAATACCCCATTTTCAGACACAGCCATGTTCCATCATGCAAGAGATCCCCAACCGCCAACGCCAACGCCGAGTCACTGCCAGGGTCACCGGCAAGGGGCCATGAGGACCGTTCCAGGGGCCGTTCCGATGTTCGCACATCAACAGAAGACCATCCAAAATCAGCACCTGGACTGCGAATTTGCTGATGGAAAGGGCGCAACTGTGGGCTTGCCAAAAAACGAGAGACTTGCTCGGTTTGTTGCTATGGGATACTGATCCTGCAAATCATGTCTGAAGGGCATCAACGCCCTTCTCCAAGCTACTGAACCCTTAAATCATGCCACACTTCCCACGAAACTACTTGGATCCCAGGGGATCATTAGTGACCCCATCAGCTCCTCCGGCAGCGTTGGCATATACTATGCATACCCGTCCTGTTACCGAAATCAAAAAACAAACCCATCAATGATAAACCCCTAAAATATGTGTCCGATAATATGTGTCCGAAAAATGGTGCAACAAAAATATGCTATGATATGTTATAATATGCTATGATATGTTATAACCGCAGTATAACCCCATGTTAATTGGTCCAATTTTCACAGGGAAACCATCCATGGATTCTAAAAACCGGGTCGCCATGGCCACCAACTCCAGGAAGGCCACCAGCCATGCACAGCAAATCCTCGAGGGACCGAGAATGTTCGACCATTTTCCAAAAATGGTGATGAAAAATGATGAAAATAGCTGATTTATAGCAGATTTAAATTAAAGATTTATAGCTGATTCAAAGCTGATTGATCCAGGGATTACTGGGATTTACAGCTGATTTTCCAATTTTAACCTCAAGAAACATGGAGAGTTCGTGGGATTTATATGGATTTTTACGCGTTGATTTATGATAGCGAGATGTGGATGCACATAACTTGCTTAATGTTTGGGTTTATGAGGGATGTTAGATGTATATTCAGTTAATGGGTTTATAAAGTCACTTATAACTGGGGGTTCCTAAGCCATGGGTGTGCCCCCAAATCAGCCAAACCATGGATGAAACCAAGTGAACTAACCCTACAAAATGATATGATTTGTTTTTTAATGACCTCGTTGTTCGGTCACCTGCCAGGTGAGGGTCTTGATTTTAACAAAGGTGTACCGCGCTGTTTCCTTCCTTCGCCACTTCTCGTGGCTACAAACTCGTTGTGACTGTGGGCCCCTATGGACCAGGAGCAAACAGCGAGTGCCAGAAACTTATCGCGAGCTCGAGCCAAGTCTGGGCACGCATGAACCCGAACCCTATCGCGAGCTCCGGATGCAGCTGGGCACGCATGGACCCGAACATATGCCAGATGCGAGCTGGGCTGGGCCTGGCATCTCTAGAGGTAGCTTTTTTCGGTGCGCGGGGTTGTTTTGTGCTGGAGGCGGCTGCGGTTCCACATTCGGAAATAAAGACTTGGAGGATCATCTCTGACTACTTGATTCATATTCCTGGGACAGGTGGCTCTGACCACCCGTATTAGCTGGGTCTGTGGGAGGTGATGGAATTCCGTCCTGAATTGCAGAATGATAATCAATCTACTTAGTAATCTACTTCCCATTCCCCCCAAAATCAATATCCATCTATATCAGCAGCTATCATCTATGGCCAATGTTCTTCCGACGGAAGAAGGCATGTTGGTATCCGGTATAACTGGTACAATGTAGTCATCATCCAAATTTGGGCTGTTGCACTAACCAAATTAACTTAGCATCCCTTAGCACCCCAGACGCTTTATCACTGTACAGTTTGAACCACTGTGTTCAATTCGATTCTTTAGTTCACTGCTTAAACAAATTACAGGACCGAGCCTTAGAGCGTCATCGGCCATACCCGGGAAAAAAATCAGATTCAACAGTGGCTAGTTTTTTTTGGTCAAAAGATGCTTTCCGTATCCTTCCGTCATGCAACGCTTTCCACCGGTTTGAGAGTGGCCCTGCACCCCCAACAACAACGTCTGCAACGACCACGCATGATCTGTGCTATGCCCCGTGGAAAGCGTGCTGGGCGCCTTTGAAACAATAGAAATAATAAGGAAACGAAACAACATCTGTCCGGTTTTGGCAGTGTCTGGATGCTTCTACTTAGTTTTTTTGTCAAAAGATGCCTTCTGTATCCTTCCGTCATGCAACGCTTTCCACCGGTTTGAGAGTGGCCCTGCTTACCCCAACAACTAAACTTAGCCACGGCTTTCGTTCAACCTCTGCAACAACCACGCATGGTCTGCGCAATGCCCCGTAGAAAGTGCGCTAGACGCCTGGGAAAAAACAAAAGAAATAAGGACACAAATTAAATAGGTCAGATAGAACGCCAGAAAGAATGCCAAATAGATTGTCAGAATATATGTCAGATAGAATGCCAGAAATAATGTCAGAATATATGCCAAATAGAATGTCAGTTGGTGGGGATCACTCGAAGGAAGTAATTTCTCAAATCACTATAAAGTTGGAGAATCATGTTATCACTTTCCAAATCACTCACAAATTTGATGAACACGGATGCCGGGCTCACACTTTTTGAGAAAATAGTTCTCCCATGTTCTCCCTAGTTTGTTCAGTGACAATCCTTTGGGACCGTCACATCCCCAAATGACCTTTTGGGCAATGTACAAACCTGCGGGTAATCATGCGAGGCACAACTCTTCAGAGACCTACCTATACTGGTATGGTTCCCCAACAGGGATTCCTCATAGTGGTCATGATCATCTGAACTTGGCAATGGATGTCTATCCCGCATGACTGTGGTGGGTGAATTGGAAACGAGTCATATGTATATTCATTAGTAGTTCAATATCCATCTGTCAAAAATCTAGTACGGTAAATACTACTTAGAGAAGAAAAGTGCGTGGCAAATAATGGAGAGTTGGGGTGTCCGCAATTGTGACCCATCCATTGTCATCTTTGATTCCGGCACCGGTCATGTCAAGAGTCAAGACCGTCGGGTTTACAACCTCAGCAATTCGGCCAAAGTCAAGATTTCATGGTTTCTTCAGAGGGGATTGCCATCACGGGTGATGTCAGATCCAGTGATCCAGTCAACAATGCCATATACAAAGGATTCTTGATAAACAAATATGGGTCATGTCAGCCTGATATGCTGGTGAACGTCAAACCAGATAAATCATATAAATCAGCTGGTTGGTTTAGACCTTCATCATCCCTCATTTAGATGGTATTAAAAAAAAGAACTGGTTTCGACCCATCCAACATTCTATAAATGTCCAACTGTTGCTTTTGAACTTTCTGCTTGGTTGGCCTACTCCCCATGTATGCCTTGGTAAATTCACCCATCGGTGTTTCTCGAAAGGTTTTGGGACGCCGCAGCCTTCCAATGGTTTTGACCCAGCCACCCGCCGAAGCATGCTCCACATGCTGGCCTCATTTTGGTTGCTCCAAGGTTGACATCCATGATTGGCAAGTGGAATATAGAGCATAATCTGTGGTTAAAGCAATAATCAACCAACCCCTAAATCACCAGAAATGGGTTGTATAAACCATAAAAATATTGGTGATTTATTATTGTTTTACCAACATTAATTATCGCATTTGGTGTCTGAAATCAATGGTTTGGAACCGTCTACTGAGTCCTAAACCAAACCGCTCTACTCAGAAGTCTGGTTCCATGTTGCGTCTGAAATCCCCCAATTCATTTAATATATATATACATACATATGTACAGATACAGATACATATATACATATGCATATACATATGCATATACATATACATATACATATTCATATATACATATATATATATACATACATATACATATATATATATACATATACATATATATATATATACATATACATATACATATACATGTACATACATATATATATATATACATATATATACATATATATATATATATATATGTGTGTGTAAGTAGTACATGTGTGTGTATATGTCTATGTATCCCTCCCCCCTGTGGATGTAGTGGGTGGGGGGCCGTGAACGCGAGGAAAACCCTGGGGATTCAACTGATTTAACCAGACACAGCTTTGTGACCCAGTAACAACCATTAACACATAGATATAGTGATATAATATAGAGAAGTAGAAATATAGGAAACAACAGCAACATATATCTATGTTTATATAAATATATATCTATGTATATATATATATATGTATGTATGTATGTAAATATGTAAATATATATATATACACATATATATATATATATATATATGTATATCTATATATATATATATATATGTAAATATGATTAAATATGTACATATATATATATACAGAATTTGTATATATCTAAGATAAACATAGATAAACAATGTAATAGTTGGGCATTTGAGCAAAATCTCCTGTCGACCGAGTTACAGCTGTTAGCCTTGGCATCTGCGGCAGGCTGCGAAGTCGCGAAGGGAACCCCGGGTCTGGCCCGTCGTGATGCGCAGATCCAGGGGGATCCCCGAAAATCCCAGGGGATCCCCAAGTCACCATGGGGAAACCATGGGAAAACCACTGGAAACCATGGGAAAACGACTGGAAAATGGTGATTTAACTATGACAGATGACAACTTGGAGGTTTTCTGTTGGTTGAAATATGGATGTTGCATGGGGGATCCCCAAGTCACCATAAGTCACCATAGGTTGTTTCAATACCAAGTCATGGTCTAATATGGGCATCCATGACATGGATGATTTGGGGTAGCCCTATTTTAGGGAACCCCCACAACCTGAAATAACTAGTTTGACGTTAAACAGCTGAATGGATCTACAATTGAGGACATGCAAAAATGCTTATTTCATCTTATTTCGGTGACCAGGTGGATTCAATTAAGTTACTCGAACAGATTTTTCATCATATAAACAACTCACATTTCAAGGAGATTCCCTGGTGGATTAAATCCAGTGCAAAAAAGATCAGGAAAACTCACTCAGCTGGTGAAATTTCGCCCCCCCCCCTCAGGCGATCCAACCGTCCTTCATGGAACATGACCCATCGGCCCATCATGCATCCTAATCCCAATATTGATAGATGATGGTTCCATTAAAATGGATGTATATATAATATGTATATAATATGTATCTAATATGTATCTAATATGTATCTAATATGTATCTAATATATATATATATAATATGTATGAACATGTTCAACATGTTCCGTTATAGATTATTAATTATTCTTTCATTCAAATGGCTATTTGTGGATATGTTCCATTGCTATGTGAGAAATGTCCACTTACAATCCCTTATACTGGTTGATTCGGAATGGCCTTTTTGGGTCATGGGTCATCCACAAGTAGTTTGGCCACTGCAAACAGACATGATTTCCATTTCCGCTTCCGCGATGGCGCAAGCGGCTAGCGCCTTGCTTTGGTATTGCACAGTATTCACCTTCATTATGACCATTATGATCCATGGCCATCCATGGCCGGTGTGGCGCCTGGAGCCGCCAGGAATGCATCCATCCAAGTGAAGCTCAGGCAGTGAAAGATGTTCACCTCAGACGACGAGGTCGATTCGGCTGCGAGGAGCATCGAAGCCCGGAACACACAAAAAAGCACCTTGCGGTGATGCGGTGATGCCCCCGTTGTAAGTTGGATGATAAACCATAGTAACTAGTTCGATATGATATATATATATATCTATACCATAAACCCTAGTTATTGGAGTTGTAAACCAAGTTAGCTAATGACCTGGGGCACCACTGTCTAGTTTGTACCACCAATCTACAGTTCTTCTGCTTCTCAGGCACAGATAGGGCGCTGGTCAAGATGTCGTTTCTCTCATCCCCAACTTTCCTGGCTGAGCCATCACTGGGAATGGGAATGTCGTCCCATGTCAGCCCATGTCATCCCATCATAAATGGAATTCCGAAGCAAATCCCTTCTCCAAAATAGAACCAATACTGACAATATCTAACAATACCTCCCTAGAAACTATGGCTTCGTGTTGGATCTATTCATTTTTGGGCTCATGTCTGGAACTTGCCAATGGGATGACAATCCACGAACTGATGGGAAAATCCCTTGGTCTGTTGGCGAAAACTCTTCAGAACACCTCTATGAATCTCATGGTTTGTTGATCAATGTCGAAATCATGTTGTTTCGCAAGTACCAATCTACCATGGGAAATCCACTTTGTCATCTTTGTTTAGGTCTAGGTAAATCTCCTCATCGTGTTTTTTAGGATTCACATCTTGCTTCGTGTTTCTTGCTTTTAAGTCCATTTTAGCTGGTTCTTGTTTCATTTGACTTATGTTTGTTCGCCGCCTCCTTTATGTTTGCTGGTTACCCACGCTTCCTTGCCTCAAATTGCTGTATGCACAATTTTGACATGCCAAATCCCCCGTTTGTTGGTGAAATTGATTAAACTTGTGAATTTCTCATACTTTCTCCCCATTTTCGCTTCAGTCTCAGCTTCTTCTTGTCTTCATGCACCGTCACGTCCTGTCGCTCTGTTCTCAACGCAAGGGCCCCCATTTCATCTCGTGAAGGAGACGCTGCCAGCACAGAATGCCTGGTCATCCATGGAAGTGGAAGGGCCATTGTTGCATGTACAAAAAACATGGGGATATAAACGTTAGGAGATACTAAAATTGGAATATAATGTAATATTATTTTTCGAAGTACCTCCTAAACATGGGGATATAATTATTCACCAAAATGGAAGTGTTTCTAAATGGACATAAATGGTTCATCACATGGATGGTTTCATGTGCAGTATTTATAGCTATTTTTGCCATACATACGGTATGGTATGAGCAATGGAAATAGTGAACATGTTGACATATACAGTACATACGATACGATCATTGAAATGAACAATTTGCATAAAAGTTGAACTGCAAAGCTGGGATGTTGCTCACACAAATGAATTGACCTTGAACTTTCATCCACAAATATCAAGGTTCAGCTGGGAGGTAATGAAGAGAAAAGAAGAAAACGGGATTCCTGATCCTGCGAATGTGGTTATCAATTCACAACAATGTATAGATATAGTCAAAGATGGAAGCAACATACATAGAACATCATGGAACATTTTCCCCAGCAATCCCAGCACAGTCCGGGGCATTTATCAATCTAACAAAAGAACATAACTTTTTCTTTTTCAACTAGTGTCCCACCCCTCGGCCAATTTCAACCCTGAATGATTGGGGTTACCAGGTCCCACCGAAAACCTAGTTAAAACATGTCAAGACATGCTATTTCAATTGGTACCCTCCCGTAACACTAGCGCACTGGTGCTTCACAAATCCTGGGTTAGCACGGTTTTCCTGTTGTTGTAATTGTCTTTTATTTAATTCTGTGTTTCATGTCTTTCCTATTCCGGCTTCCCCATCTTCCCCGGTGGTTTTCCTATGGCTTTTCCCACATGGTTCACCCAATCTGCCGCAAATCCCGGGCGCATCATCAGGCTCAAGGAGATGCAAAAGCCGGTCACCCAGAGTCCAATGGTCCAGGCAGCAGCGCGGCGCCAGCTGTCTGCCAGGAGATCTGAGATGCCTCGTCAGGGCGATGGCAGCTGGAGCCGTTTTTTTTGGGGGGGGGATTTTAGGTCATTTCCAAAGGATCAAGATAAGAGGTGGATATTTTTTTTTGGGAATTATCTATGGTCCAATGGTTTCCGGTAAGTTTTCAGTAGGTCTCTGGTTTCCAGTTTTCGGTGGTAGATTGCTGATTTTCCCCAGGCCAATTGGTTCGAAATCAGCTCCCAGAACTGCTGGAATCTGCTGGAGAGCTTCGACGATGGGGGCAAGGCTTCCCACCATCACTTCACCCCATCCATTGTCTCCTCAAAATAATCACCATGGTAGTAAAATGGCCATGTTTTCATTGGCAATGGGTCCAAATTGGCTACCCCAATCATTGCATCATTAACACCAAAAATTGACGTAAATCTATATGGTCTCCCAGGTCTTTACTGTTGATCCATACCCAACCAACAGCTTCACCGCGCCAAGTGACCCACTTGCGCCATGCCCAGTTCCAAGGCTCGCGTTGCCAAGCTCGTGAAGTGGTGGAGCTGACGTGTGGGGCCGGCGCCTGCTGTGGCGCTGGAGGCTCCAGGCTGGAGGTAATGATGATTTCACTGCAAAAAAACAAACAAACATCATCAACTCCCTTTCCATCTTTCCCGGGTTTACTCATACTAGCAAGACGAGTAGACTTAGAAAAACCACACATTGAAACATGCTGGTTGGTGGTATACCTACCCCTCTGAAAAATGATGGAGTTCGTCAGATATGGGCTCATCATCCCAAGTATTGGGGGAAAAAATGTTCCAAACCACCAACCAGCATGGTATTTAAGTGGTAACACTTAAATAACAGGTGATTTAAGGGGTGATCCCAGGGACACGAGACTCTGTTTTTTACACAAAAAAAAGGTATGTGTTTTTTTGGTGGGGCAAAAACATGATCCAATAAGAAAAATCGATCATTTACTATAACCATTCATATACTTAAATAACCGCAAGCACTTGATCCATGGATCATGGAACTATATGAATGCTGAATGTCTTATATCTTTGGGACATACTTTTCAATCCTGACCTTGTGGTTCAACAATGAACCCCTTGTCTGTGCCATGGTCGATGTCTTTGGGCCTGGGCCCCTTGTCATCCCAACATCAGATGGTTTCCTAATGGGTCCTGTCAACAGGTAATGGGAGGATGACCATGCCCCAACAAAAATGGATTTTTGTCGTCCAGTCATGTCCAATTCTACCATGATACCATGATATTTTTACGCGCGTAATTTATATGTGCTCAACATAGTCAAGCATCATAGCATCAAACAAGTGGTTTTGACCAACACAATTTTGACATGGCAATTCATCTACAATAATTACAACCCAAAAGCACCATGTGCTGTACAACACCGGCTCCAGATATGTATGACCTGGAACCCAAATTACCTCCATTTTGGTGAAGCCTTCATTTTTCCTGCCGTTGATTCCTAAAAGTAGTAAGCATCTCGCTTGATCTTCAAAGTTGGGCTCCCCAGTTCTGGGCGTTGCTTTATAAACCCATATATATATATAGATTTCTCATGAATTTAAATCTCCACCAGTAAATGAAACACAGTGACGTTGAATGCAACTGAAAGCCTAAATCCAAGATCTACCCAAACATATTTCATGGTGACATCACCATACTGTGGATGGTTGCGAAATCCTGCACCAGCTGGATTTCGGTAGAAAGCCCAACAAAATAATGGGATGCTCACCACCGACCTATCAACTGGTGCAGGATTTCGCTGGCCCATCCACACAGTATGTTCACTGCTTAGATCCTGAGGTTTCATCCATTCAGGTCCTATTTTGGGTCCATTTTCAATGACATCCAGGACGACTGAGGCCACGGACCCATGGCTGCCATGGCTGCCGCGATGGACCAGTCCCGCACTTCTTCCGAGCTGTTCGATGCGAAACTCCTGGGGCCCCAAAGAAATGGCAGGGTCGAGTCAAAGATCAACATACATTGTTACTATCTCCCCTATATATCCCATGATATCACCATGTAATACCGGGGGGATATCATGGGATAGTCATGGAGATATAATCACAACATAGTCATGCAAGCCAGTCATGGGGATTTAAGCGACCAACATTGGAATTGATCAACATATATGGGGATTTTTCATGACGAACTATGGTGCCAACACTGGGACATATTTGGGCTTGAACAGAAATTGGGGATTTGCCAAATGGATGTCCATTAAGAAATGTTCAGTGTTCAGTGTGCAATGGTTTGAGAAGGTAAGCGATCATCTAATTCACAATCGTGAATTGTGAGAAACTTTACCATTTTCTTGGGGGAGATAACCACCCAGTTCAGCTAAGTCATCACTGCACTGCCTCGAAGGCACAAAGTTGTCCAGAAACAGCAGAACATCATCAATGCGTGCCTCAATCTAAAGAACATAATACTTGCTGGGGAAATGATAACTACGATTGACATCGATGGACTACAACCGATATGACATACTATTTCATGGCTATGTAGCTATGTTATCATCTATGTCACATGTCTATATAGTATTTATAATTCTCTATTGCGACATGATAACCACCCCTCAATCCCGACAATATGGTATCAGCCATCATTTCAGAGGCCACGTCCTTGCTCGGCGTTGGAGGAGAAGTAAGGATTCCTCATCATCGCCTGCGGGGTGACCAAACATAGGGATTGAACTACGAAAAACACTACAAATTTGGCACTATGAAAAAAATGGTGATTTCACTGTACGAAAACCACTATTGAACCACATGATTGAACCATAAACAAATGAGGATTCATGTTTTGACTATAAAAAAACATTTGGTTTCTGATTGATTTCGGTTGGTTTATCTCTGTCTGATATATCTTGGATTTTGAATGATTTTCAGGCATCTGAAAATCTGCAGGCTTTAACCAACATCAAGCTGCAACGAGGGAACAATGCTCAAACACTCGAACGACCGGCCTGGGCCTGTGTCTGATTCTGCGAAATCATGAAATATTGGAATTCTGAAAAAATACTTTACTTCGTGTGATCCCCACCATGACATTTATACATTTTCTTACTGGCAAATCTTCTGGCATTCTATCTGACATATCTTCTGACATTCTATCTGGCATTCTATCTGGCATATCTTCTGGCATATGTTCTGGCGTATCTTCTGGCATATCTTCTGGCATTCTATCTGGCAAATCTTCTGGCATTCTATCTGGCATATCTTCTGACATTCTATCTGACATATCTTCTGACATTCTTTCTGGCATATCTTCTGACATTCTGTCTGGCATATCTTCTGACATTCTTTCTGGCATTCTATTTGGCATATCTTCTGACATTCTATCTGACATCTTTTCTGACATTCTTCCCGTTGAGGTCCGGCAGTGCCCACTGCGATCTGGGGCTCACGGTTGAGGTCCGGCAGAGGCCAGTGCGACCTGGAAGTCGCGGTTGAGGTCCGGCAGTGCCCACTGCGACCTGGAAGTCGCGGTTGAGGTCCGGCAGTGCCCACTGGGATCTGGAGCTCGCGGTGGAGGTCCGGCAGTGCCCACTGGGATCTGGAGCTCGCAGTGGAGGTCCGGCTGTGCCCACTGGGATCTGGACTGCGAGGAGGAGGTGGCGGGTGAGGAGGCGGAGGAGGCGGAGGTGGAGGCGGAGGAGGCGGAGGCGGAGGAGGAGGAGAACAGCTCTGATAAAATCTAACAACCCTCACCTGGCAGGTGGGGAAAAACATGTTGTGCTTGCCAAACTGCCACAAATTCTTACAACTCAATTTATGACAAATGTTCAGCAGTACATATTCAGTTTTCTCAAAACAATCAGTTTTCTCAAAACAATCAGTTTTCTCAAAACAAAGGACATCAAAGGACTATTAAGCTACCGTTTACCCAGAAAAAAAAAACTACAACAATCTGACCTAGTCCACCCGTCCACCTCCCGTTCGCCTGCCTGAAAGCTCATTTTGACATGAAACTGCTTGGCAGTCCTCACCTGCCGTGGATTAACCCTTTGTCCAAGAGATGGAACTGCCTCAGAGAACGAAAAACCTGTTGGATGATGATCCGTTAAACATGAGGATTATGATTTGACTAACTATGAAAACCATGGGGTTTGTGATAGGTCTTGGAACTTGTCACCTGTAACAAAAAATGAGAATAGGGGTCGAACAGGGCTAGTGCTCACCAGTGGTCTCCACACAATTCTTATTCATACGTTTTGTCCAAAATTTGCGGACAATTATATAACATACTTCACCCCCAAGTGGTATACCTTAACAGGGAACATATGATTGACATAGGACATATGTTTAATTGACAAATTTGCTGCAAACATTGTTCTATCATGTCATATATCGATACATTCATTTTATATCTGAATATATCTGAATAGTAATTGGCATTATCAGGAAAATCCATCAGACAATGTATTTCAAATACCCTCTGGAAATTTAACATAGCTTTGGAACATCACCATTTTTGATGGACAAATCCACTATAAATGGCCATTTTCAATAGCTATATGGAGGTGTCCTCCAAGGGTACCCCCATTGCCGAGTTCGCACCTGCTACGTAGATGGAAAAAACGACGCCAAAGACCTGGGTTTTCTGAACTCGACCCGGCGTTTTTTTCAATTATAGTGGTGACAAAACATGCTTGATTCATGGTTTGTCATAGTATCCCAGATACTCCATGGTGCTGGAATATTTACCTACATTTACCCCAAAAATAGCCCAGTCATGTAGGTAAATATACCATAAATGGAGCATATGGCTATTTCTTCCTGTTTCGATCATGGATTCTATGGATATCCATGGATCAGGTCCTTGACCATGAAACTTCATGAAACCTGATATACTTAGATGAAATCTAGATTGAATTTGAATGATACAGAAATTATACAATGATATACTGGATGCTCCAATGCCTTTCAACATGCTACCCTGCCCATCAGGGTGAAAATACCTCGGTGTTTAACCGTTCACCCAGAAAGCATGGTGATGTTGTGCGAACGCTGTGGAAAATGCTTCATTTGTAGATTTTTGATGTGATTTTTTACCTATGATAAGCCATGATTCTACTAACCCATGATTCTTTACCTATGAAACAAATAACTGAATTTCAATGTGATCTTCCGCCGATGCACATATCGACATACCTGAGGGGCATAAATTCCTACAATACCACATGCTGGAGAAGGTCCATTTGCCAGGGCCCACCCAGACTCTCGATGAACGACTCTGGGTTTTCCGGCCAACACACGAATCATGGCCATCAAACGTCATGATGTCATGGCTTCAATCAGTCCAGAGGCCAGCACTTTGCTAGGAAAAGAGGGTACATCCTGGGCCCAGCATGGCAGCGGATGGCAGCGGATGGCAGCGGATGGCAGCGGATGGCCATGAAGACTAGTACCATCCCATTGTTCTGGTACTCAAATGCCTTGAGATATTTGAGATACCCGCTGCAAAAGGAAATCACATGGTAAAAAGATGTAAAACTGGTTGGTGGTTTTAACCATCTTGAAAAATATGGAAGTCAATGGGAAGGATTATCCCATATATTATGGAAAATACAAAATGTTTGAAACCACCAACCAGAAAAAGACAGCATGGTTTTTTGGTAGTTAACTCTTGAGCCACGGTCCAGTTACTCTCCAAGGAATTGGACCTTGAAAAGATTAGGTGATGGCACCACACCCAGTCACAAGAATTGGGCGAAACACCACTATCCAGAATTGAAGTTATGCACTTTTGCTTATCAACAACACCTCAAGGTTGTAAAGCTAAATGAGGAGACTTAATTATCAAAATCAAAGTCGCAAACAAACGCTGATGCATGGATGATACATGATCAAACCAGATGTTCCAGAGCAAACGTCATTTTGATTATTCTAGAAGCATTTGCAGGGCTGTTGCGAAACCTCCAGATCTGTCCCAGGTTTTTTGCTGAACGCCGGTGCCTTTGCCGGTGCCTTTGCCGAAAGGTCACCTTGACCCTTTGGTAATCTAACCTGACAATGACAAATCCTTGGAAAAGAAAATGGCACGTATTATCGAACAAATTAGAGTCATCAAAAAATGAAGCATTCATGCATTTCGATCCAGGTTAGAGTACCTCCGGGGTTAATCATCCTCCTCACTGTCCTCCTCTTCTTCATGCCAGGCCTCCTGGCAAATATCTTCAGCCAACGTGTGTCTGAAAGTATACGGTATACCCCAAAATGACCATTTTCACAGGGAACATGGTGATTAACCCTCTCAAGTTTAGGAATATGTATATATATATATGCATATATATATGTATATATATATATATTATATAAATAGATAATATAATATGTATATATATATATATATATATATATATTATAATATATATATAATATATAATATGATATAATATATAATATGATATAATATATAATATATAATATGATATAATATATAATATATGATATATATCATATTATATATATTATAATATATTATATATACATTATATTATATATAATATTTTCATACAATATGTATATATATAATATTATATAAGATAATGTGTTTCCTGATCCAAATCGATTGTCATCGCCATGTGGATTGATCATGCATGCTGGTGACATATCACCACTGAACCATGCAAAATCCAATTAAGGGATCACAGGCTCTTGCATTCCCGGAATTGCCTGAAATCAATCCCCAGGGACCTATGGATTCCTATGGATCCAAGTACCCAAAGTGGCATCTGAAAAAGTATGAATGGGATATGCTTGGGGCGTGTTAAGAGCAAAGAAGAATCTATTTTACATAATTCCATAGGCGATACAAACAAGGTGTGTGCTGGTTTCAGCAAGATTGACACCCCTTAGGAAATTTCAGTTCGCTACTCTCTTCCATCAAATGCATTCAAATGCCCCAAGACTATTTCATCTAGGATTGGTCAAATATTCAGGATTGGCTGCCACTTCGGCCTGAAATTATGGGGAGGGGACTGTTGTGGCCGCCTCTTTTTTAACTATTGTTGTCAAGTTTTTAATTAACCATGAACTATTTCACTGGGAAACCTACACATTTTGAAGAGTTGGTTATGGAGCCCGGCGGAGCGCAAGACAGATTTTTTTTCATGCCAAGAGCAATGCGCGATGGAAGACGAAGTCAGCATACACAACGGAGCATTCAAGTGCAGCTTCATTTCAAGGCCTGTGCTAGTGAATCTTGGATTTACAACAGGGCATCTGCACAATCTGGGCAACTGTCACTAACAATGTCATGGATCTCCTGGAGAGCAGACACTGAGCGCTGAATCGTTGCACGAAGTCTGGTAGCCGATGACGAAGAGAAAGATGTTGACGACGCATCGCTTGAATCAGCGCCATTGGAACTATGGTGATCCTCCGCAGCTTCAACCTCACCGGTAGGAGACTCAACAGCAGGCTTGGCATCGTCCAAGACATCAGCTTCAACCTCACCGGTAGGAGACTCAACAGCAAGCTTGTCATCGTCCAAGACATTGGCACCATGGTTGTCCACATAGGAATCCTCACAAATGATGGCTGTAGGGTTGTCATCGTCCAAGGCATTGGTAGCATGGTTCTCCACAGAAGAATTCTCAGGCTTGACATTTTCCAAGGCAAGGGGTGTAGAAGAAGAAGGATCTTCCAAGGCAAGGCGCCCGGAAGAAGAAGCATCTTCCAAGGCACTAGGACTAGGCGAAGGTGTGTCGGTGCGATTCTTCTTCCTTTCTGCACGCAAGAACCATGACTTGAGCCTTTCATCTGCTTCATTGCTCCACTGTCCTTCTGCCCCAATCAACAGCCGCAATCCACGCTGAATGTTACAAATCTGCATTTGGATGCGGCGAACAGTGATTTGGGCTTTGGAAGGATGAACCAACAACTTTCCATCAGCAATCTCTTGGACTAAAGCATCTGGATGCGGAGGAGTGGTAGAAGGTTGTGGGGCAACACCTGGTTCAAGCTCCAAGACAATCTTGCGCCCATCTTTGAGAATTGCTTTGCCGCGCACATCCATAGCTACAAGGGGATGGCTACCGGAATGATGCTGTATGCTCAGAAACGCTGCGGGACCATGTGAATAACTGCAACAAATAGTGGTAAGGACATGCTATGAAGAATCTGGACTTTTCATTTGGATTCAGCAGCTTTGTCAAACAGAAATGGGAAGTGGCAAGTCAGCAACCTAAGAAGTTGAAACCATGCATCACAGAAAGCAACTCAATGAAAAGGGAAGACAAAATGAAAAGAACACAAGCAGTTCTATGAGATTTTCTGTAAGGACAAGCAAACAAACAGAAAGCAACTCAATGAAAAGGGAAGACAAAATGAAAAGAACACAAGCAGTTCTATGAGATTTTTTTTTAAAGGACAAGCAGACAAAACTGCGCGGCAGCATCTATCTACAGACACAGGTCTTCAGCCTCCCCACGTATGATCAGAGTCTTCCAGCCGTGAAAGCTACTTCTTGCGTCTGTTCCGGGTAGCAGTAGTTGAACGTCTTGAACGTCTCATGAGAATTGGTGGCAAAGATGGCAAGTTGGCATTGTAGAACGTGATCGCCTCCTGGACCCAGAACTAGGGAATATAGATGACTAGGGAATATAGAAAATTAGCCAACCATATGTTAGAAAGTAGTAGTTAAATAGATCTGATGATCTTAGATTAACTTGCTTCAGGAGTCCAGACACAGAGAGAGCGGCGCTAAAAGCCAATAAAGGCAGATGACCAGAGAATATAGAAAATTAGCCAACCACATGTTAGTACTTAAATGTTAAATAGATCTGATGATCGTAGATTAGCTTGGATTAATCTGGATTAATCTGGGACCAAAAAAACAAAAAAAACAAAAAAACAAAAAACAATGTTTTGGAGACTAGTCTAAAGATAGCCCTGATCCAAGTAGTCCTGAAAACATTGTTTTTTTTGTGTTTTTTTTGTTTTTTTTTTTGTTTTTTTTTTGTTTTTTTGGTCCCAGATTAATCCAGATTAATCCTTGGGGCTTGAACAGATATCAACACACAAGTTATCGGAAGGGAATGTTGTGACACCCAAATCTCACAAGAACACAAGTTATCGGAAGGGAATGTTGTGACACCCAAATCTCACAAGAAGTATTTTTTATACATATTAAGTGTGAGATTTGGGCGGCCACAACAGTCCTTTCTGAAATTATGACCCAAAGCTGAAACTTACATCATAGCCTGTAGCGGGGCGTCATGATGGTCCAAGGTGATGTTACCGCGGTTCACAGCTATGGCTATGGATCAATACCTATCAATACCACATGTTTGTTTGTGATTTGAACATCCAAAATCCTATAACCCAGCAAACATAGCTATTGAAAATGGCCATTTATAGTGGATTTACCCATTAAAAATTGCGAAATTCCATAGTTACGTTAGTTTACCAGAGGGTATCACCGTATAACCCAGCATATTTGGAAATTGTTTGGGGGGTTATTCACATCCATGATGCCCATGGAACAGTTCTGAAGTTCTTTTTCGCCTTTTTTGGGGATTCCCTGATGCTCCACACCTCAGTCTCTTCATCCAACTGCTCGGTTGCAGCAAGCAGCGCGCTTGCACCTCAAGATGTTGGAAACACTACAGTAATAGTGGAAAACTACCATTTTCCAATACACCACAGTTGTCATCTGTAATCATATGATAAATATATATATATATCGGAAAGACCACTTGATCGGAACCCTAATCTTTATGTTGGAAACATATGGTCCGATCCAACCGCCTGATTTGAACAACAAACTGTGATGTTTACGCTACATCTACAAGGTCTGGTTGTCGGTTTAATATCTTTCATCCTCATTTATTAAATTCTTTTAAATTCTTGATAATTTATCCTCTTGCTAGCCATTTAACATGCCAATTCTCTTTCATAATCTGTCACCGGCCACGTGACTGTGGCGTGGATCATCCTCAGCATTTTGACCCCGAGGACCTCGGTGGAGAGCCGGAGATACCTACCAAAAACCATCCAAAAAGCTGGGTTTTGGATAGCTGGTTGGTGGTTTCAAACTACCTACCCTAATGGTTAATATACTGTTAATAATGGTTAATATATGGTTAATGATGGTTAATAACATTTTCTGCTTGGTGGTTTCAACCTACCCCTCTGAAAAATATGAAAGTCAAATGGGAGGATGAGATTCCCAATATATGGAAAAAAAAGAATGTTCCAAACCACCAACTAGTTGGTTTATATACCTCTATCATCTTCTGTAACTTCAGCTGAGGCAGATTGTA